GTGTGTGTGTGCGTTGTTTAGCTCTGACCTTGCCAAAGTTCCTTTCATAATAAAAGCAGACAGCTTAGTTTTACTGCAGCAGGAAGGTAACTTCCTATTAGCAGGAAAACGTACCTGACCTGCACTTCACCTGTGATGTGCTTTATTGTGTCTAATCAGTACATGACACCTCGTTAAGATCAATTTCAGAGACAGCATCAGCCCATGTGTTTAGCTTTTCAGTCATTTTTGGGGTGAATAAAATCCCTTTTAGAGATTCAGCAGTCCAGTTCAGACAGCCCAGTTTCATCCACAGCGCATCAATTAGTGCTGTTTAGTCAAAGCCACTGGAATGGCTCGTTTACACACAAAGTGTCCGTTGGCATGTGTGCCCTGACACACTGAGTTTTAGCACTAGTGAGAGTGACTGTAACTCTCAAGTTATTATCTTTACATGTGCACGGTTACTGTTATAAAGATGCAGCTTCTAACCCAAACTGCAACGCTTTCCTAAGCCTAAATACTTTTTTGAGGATTAAATCTGAAAAAATAAATAAATAAACAAAAATATACATATCCAGCAAATGAAAGCAAAAGTAAAAAGTCAATAAAAGATTAGAAAAATCAATGCCATACTGCTATCCTCTAAAAGTCTTCTAAAAGGGGACCATTAGGGATATAAAAGGGGAACATTATCTCCAAGACTACCTTGGCTGGCTCTTCGGGGCACCAACGCCACAGAACATCATGCACATAATGAGGATACACAGACGGCATCTTGGCAGGAAGTGAACGCATTGTTAGTCACATAAAAAAATCAGACCTCAAGAAAATCAGCAGACAAAAATAAAATGATGTTTTGATGCATGTCAGAGCATCTCACAACCACTCTACAAAGGGAGTGCCCTAAAAAACAAAGCTTTCTGTTAACTCTCACTTTCTGCTCAAACAAGGAACGAATTTCAAAATAAAATGTAAACGTGGTCACTGTTTATCACAGAGTCTGCAGCTGTGCTGGCAGCCTTTTGAGGCAGTACTGAAACAAATCAATGCGGTGAACGTGCTAACATAGATTTGATTATTCACATCACACAACCTTCAATAATTGTGTGAAATAATTGAGTCTTAACATTTTTCATTACGCTCCACTTTAAAGTAAAAAAATTTTTAAAAATCCACACTCTGATAAATAAATGACCATAATATCAACTTATTTTTTTATATATATATTTTTATATTTTATAATCTGAAAATAACGCAGCTTACAAGAATGTGTCAGAACAGACCAACATGCAGTCTATTTAACGATGTACATAATGAACAAAACCTCAGTAAGCTTAGATAAAGTATCATATTAACAATGTTATGTACCATGTGAAGCATTACCTTTTAAAAGAGGCCACAGTGTGCTGGTACAGATGAATTCACACTGCATAAAGTGAAGTGAAATACAGAAGCGAGCACACTAGTGGGTCTTACATGTTATTGTATTGTAATGATCAATAACATGAATTCAGTGTCATTTCAAAAACAGACAGACAACTTCCTGAAAGGTCTACCTTCTCACAATAAATGATAGAAACAGAGTAATGCAGAGCTTCAGGAAAGTACAAAGAAATCGATCGCCTGATTACTTTTAAACCACATTTTAAATTTCTGATGAATATTTTTAAAACTTTAGATTTCGTTGGCCATCGGTTCTCCGCAGCGGGAAGTCGTGTGTCTCTCTCCTCTGATTCGTCCATTCCTGCCCACGGCACACACACGACACACACACACCTGTGGGTTTCTATCAGTTTGAACTTTGTGTTGTCCCTCAGTTTGATTTGATCTTATTTTTCCTTTGAGCCATCTTATCAGCATTCCGCCCTCTCTCTCTGTCCGAACAGGTAAAAAACAAGGACCCCCCGAAAATCGCAACAAAGGTAACCCCTCCATTCATCCATCTGTCCCGCTTTGTCCCTCCATCCTCCCTGTTACTCACCCACTCCTCACCCTTCACCCAGCGGCAGGAGGGGAGTGTCCAGTCCATCTCTCTCCCTCTCTCTCTCTTTCTGCTGTATAAAGGGGGACGTTCTCTCGCCTTGCTTTACCTGTCCAAGGGTGCAACTCTCAACCTTCAAGTCTCTAACAGCCGAGTCTGCGGTCGCCCTGTAGAAGTGCATTAATGCCTCAACCCTGAAAGCAGGGCATGTTTTTTGGAAGCACATGATTTATGTTTGGGGGAGAAATCAGCCACAGGGAAATTTTTAAAAATGTGAGTGTAGTGGTTATCTTTGTGTAAATCACGTTTATTTGCAGCACTCAAAACAAAAATAAGACGTGGGTTATACAAGTCATTTATGATCACTTACAGGAAGTTCATTGTCGCACTAGCCAACAGGAACGTGTACCAAAAGTGACATCACACCCATTGGCATGTTTTTGTGGTGACACCTGTTGCTAAGGAGTACACAGAAGCGAGGCCTGCAAGCTTCAGGTGCACGCATACACAAGAGTCAACAAGAAACAGAAGTATATAATGTTAAAAACAACAATCAATTAGTAATCATTCAGATTTACTTAACTTGTCTATAAGGAGACACACTAATGGTTAATCGCCTGCAGAAGGCCTGTTATTAAATATTAGCCAGACTAACGAGCTAGGACTTCAAATGATGATTAATTCTTGTTTGGTCAGCAAATCTTTAAATGTCACAAAACATTCAACAGACATTCACACTAAAAAAAAAAAAAGTTAAATTGCAGAAACAAGTTAGGTTGTTTTCATAATATTCAAACAAACATGGAAGCACTACTGATTTGTAAATGTTATCAGTGTGCACTTTGCAAACTAACTTATACAACTGTTGGGATCTTTATCGCTATTTTCTGTTTGAAAGAAAAAAAACAAAACATTGAACGGTTATTACTAATCTCTTAAATGTAAGTCATGTGCTTGCTAAACACCTTTTTTCCCCTCATCAGAGTCTCTCAGTTCACGGTCAGAATTGGGCTGCGAGACCATCAGTGAGGGTTACTAACTCCTAACATACTGCTCTGACCTCTGAGGTGTCCTTGTTTAATGGGTTTAATGACTGTGTGTGAGATTGCTGATGACGTCATTGCGGCAACCTCCAAAATCAGCCAAATGCCCTCCATGTCCTGGGTGTTCCAGCACATGGCCAGCTTCCTCTGCAAGCTGTCTCAGCAAACACACACACACACACACATTTAAACGCACACACCGACACACTCCCCTCATCCAGACCTCCCATGGTTAAAGCATCTGCTGCAGACAGAATGCTTCTTCATGTACAGAGAAAGACGCACACACAGCTTTTGGATGCTCATCACTGTTTTTCACACGGAAATTATAGTCAGTGCTGCAGTCACAGCCGACCTCCGCTGAAAAACACAAGCTGGACAACATTTCTAGGAACATCTTTGCTCATTTTTATGAACCTTAAAGCCCTGAATGCATTTGTCACCACCTTTTTTAGCTCCAAGTTTTGCAGCACATTAACTACGTGAAATAGCCCCAGTTCTCCCATCAGTCATGTTTCCAGCCGCTTATTTTTTCCAACCATAAGTTATGAAATGAACTTCCTGTTTTCTTCAGTGTGACCTGAAAGTAGCAGTGGAGCCATAAAGTCATATGGAAAGTTTTTACTGAGGTCAGAGTGCGAGGAAGCCGAGTGTTGTTTTCTTCTAGACAACCTAAAGTCTTATTGCAACCAGAGGAGGCACACCCTACTGGCCATTAAAAGTAATGCATGTTTGATGCATTACTTTGAGGCACTATTTAGACTGGTCAGCTGCTACCATCTTTTATACTGTCTATGGTGGTGACACCCTATACTGCAGGTGTCTTGGGAGGTGCAGATTCCACAAATGGGCTGACAAAGGTGTCTAACCCTTGTCTTTTGATTAAGTATCCCATTGCACGTTTTTTTAAAAAGCCCAAGGTCACATCTCATAATAGCTTGTTTCTAGTTTAAAACCTAAAGATTTCATTTTTAATATAGTTTATTTATCATTTATTTAATAATTGCTTTTCCTTTTTTTTTTTACCCTTTGTATCACAACACTTCCTGCAGATGTTTCACTTTAATATCATGTGGGTGTTTGTCCCTTGAGCGGTTGGAAAGCTTTTAATGTGAAACATCTGTGCAGGAAGTGCAGCAGCAAAAGAAGGATCTGAGAATCTGATGTTTCACCTTTAAAATACCCCACAGTTTGTTTGTTTTTTAAATCACATTTTAACATGCTGTGGTCAATGTAAGCTTCTCTTGGCAGTATTGAGGGAAAACAGACATGGCCGGGGGGGTTTGCGGGTGGGGGCGCTGAAGCGAGGATGTGGGAGTTGCACCCTTGCAGTATCAGTGGGCTGTGGGCTGTCGTCTGTTCTGTTTGTGTATTATCCTCAGTTTGTTTTCTTTTTCCCTTTTGACTCCTCTCATTTCTCTCACTGTTGCCTCCTCGCAGGGTGTTGCTCAGGACTTCATGTTGTCTTGTAGGCACTGTTTGATTCTCTCCTCTGTTCCTTTTTGCCTTGCTGAAGTCTCCTGCAGCCTCCATAGCTCTGCAGCCTCCACTACCTCCTCCTGTCTCTCTCTGTCGTGGTTCTGCATCGCTGTTGTTTTTCATTTTTTTGGGGTGATCCTTTGAGTTCATCTTCTGTTTGTTGACTTGCTTTACTTTTTGATTGTCAGACACCCCCTCCCCTCTGCTCGCCGTGCGTTCTCCCATGGTTCAGTGCTGCGCCTGTTTACACTTCTGTGGTTGGTCAGTGGGTCTCAGTCCTGTTCGTGTGAAGCTGTGTCAGTTAGTTCTATGTTGTGGCTTGTCTTCAGAGTGGACTATGTGCATAAGGCTCCGCAGCTTCCCGGTTTAACACCGACCCATCCCCACATCCAGAATGTTAAATGTCTTGTTGAGGTCGTGCTGTTGTGAAATTACTTCCCTTCTGGAAATAATCTGTGTCGGGGGTTTCTCATTAACAACCTGATGAAACTCAGAGCAAGGTGGTGGTACTGAGGAGTGGATAAAAGTGGTCAGACAAAAAACATGTTAGGGCGACACTCCTGGCTTTGTTGAGCATGCAAATTCTTTCATTTTACCCAGGTTAGAAGGCAATATAGCCGTTAAAGACAAGGAGCCTCATGCAGGGACTTTTTTAATGTTTCTATCTTAAATCTTCAGTTTTTTTGTTAGATTGGGCTCAGATTCTCACTATATACATACAACACATTTCAAACATCATCTTTTCTCACCAGCTAATACCAGGATTTATGTCAGTCAGTCATAAGAATTTCAAAGTTAATCTGCATAAACAAAAAAGAGGATTTGAAAAAAAAAAAAAGACTGTTGCAGGTTTCTACAGATGAGACCAAAACGGAGATGTTTGGCTGTGAATCACAGCGCCACATTTGGACAGATCAGCACAAACACCTCATACCAACTGTCAGCACAGTGGTGGAGGGCTGAGGATTTGTTTTTCTCAGATACCTTGCAGTCACTGGGTCGACTGTGAACTCCAAAGTTAAATCTGAGGCCATCAGTTTGACGGCTAAAGCTTGACCAGTAAATTTACAACAGAATAGCTGAAAAAGGAAAAGCTCAGGTTGCCGCAATGATCCAATCAAAGTCCAGACTTTAACCTGACTGAAAAATACTTAAGAGACGTGTATAAATAAATGATCCCAAACATCAACTTCAGTTCATAAACTGAATAAGTGCATAAACTGAAACAACATTTTAAAGAAGAGTGGGCAAAAATTACTCCACAACGATGTGAGAAGCTGATAAAGTCACACAGTGAAATGCTAAAGCTGCTGGGTTATAGGGTGTACTTCACAGGACTGCGCAAACTGACTGTATATTTGACAGAAAAAAGGAAAAACAGAATCAATTCCCTTAAAAACATTTAAATCGGTTCTTGCTTGAGGCTCAGTATCTCAGTTTGATTTAATTCAGTTTCTTTCAAACTTATTGCTGAAACTTTCTGCAAAAGTGAAGCAAAACTGGACAACATGGTTTTACTCCTCATTCCAGTTCACGTTATTATTGTTGGATTGTTTTTTGTTTTGTTTTTTCCTTTGGTTCATTCCATTGAATATTTTTTTTAACTAAAATTCAGAATTTGAATAAATGTTATGTTTTCACAGCAGTAGAGCTATAACCTTAGCAATACAAGCGTACTTGTTACTTTCTGGTCATCTGTCTAACTTGCTTTATATCCACGATTTGTTGGAAATGTTGGTTCCATATTTGATGTTGAAATGTTTACCAGCAGTCAGTCTGAATAGTTTTAATGATGTAAATTTGAGTAATTTTGCCCCAGTTTGTTGACCCAGCAGAGCATTTCCAGTATTTAATTGTGAATAACATGACATGGAAATGAAGGAATTTTCAGATAAAATCATCCAGTCAGAGTTGTCAGCTCAGTCGTTCATGAGGACAAATATCAAACCTCAGTGTGTGAGATTAGAGAAGCTCTGTTTTGTTTTCGTTCATCACCTGCTCATATTTCTTTGGTATGGAAATACGACAAACAGCGGATGGAGCGAGCGGAGCTGAATGCGCTGTGAGCAGAGATCAAACAGATCACAAACGCTCCACATACATTACTACAGTCCAAACAGGATCACAGCTGATGAAGTGAAATGCAAATACACAGTTTGTTTATGCAAAAGCAGAGCAGAGCCGTCGAGCAGGACGCGAAGCTAGACTGCACATCAGACTTCAGATCTCAAACTCGGAGCTCTGATGTCAAACAAACTGTATGTGTGCGTGATTGTGCGTGTGATTGTGTGTGATTGACAGCCCCGTGTTAAATCCTCACTGTTGTATCTGCTGTTTTCTGTTCTGTCTGCTGCACTTCATTATGAACTGCTGCACCCAACTCGTCTGTGACACTCTCTGAAAGCTACCTGGACCTTTTTATCATGAATGTTGTGTGATCATAAAACGATGAAATGCTGCTCTCTGCATTCAGCCAAAGGTTCACCATGTAATGATTAGGAGTCAGAAGTGTTTCTGTTTTCTGAGAAAACTCGTCCTGTCGTTTTTCAGCTTTCCCTCAGACTGATTCTGTAACGTTTTCTCTGCCTCTCTTCCTTCATCCCCTAACCACTCCTGAACCTTGCTCCCTCGTTGTGTTTTATTTTGTTGCCAATTAAACATCAATTTAATTCATTCAAATTTTATTTTGCTCCCATCCAAAACCTTCCTCCTTTTCCAACTACCATCAATTTTCTCCATTATTCTGTCTGTCCTCATCTGTCTTTACTCACCACCTCGAACCCTACTTCCTTCCTTCTGTCATTCCCCGTAAAACCTTCCGCTTCCTCCTTTTACCGCCTCCATCCTAACAGCCAAGACCCAGGATGGCATTGCTCTGGAGATACAGCCTTTGAAGAGTGAAGAGGCCGCTGAGTCTGAGGAGAAGGAAGAGGTCAAACCAGTGAAAAAGGTCAATGTTACCAAGAAGGAGAAGTCTGTGCTTCAGGGAAAACTGACCAGACTAGCTGTGCAGATTGGGAAGGCTGGTGAGTAGCTCACACACACGCGCACACACACGAACAATCTTAACCTAGCTTAGAACAAAGGCTGGCGGTTGAGGGGAATCTGCTGGTCTAGCTTCAACCTGGGGTGGAGTATTTTTATTTTTTTTAATTCACTTTCCAAAAACGTAAAAGTCGAGTCAGCACAGTTTTGTAGACCACATTTAAAGAGACATGCCAAAATGAATGAAGCTAATAGTTTTGTAAAAGATTTTGAGGTTTAACTTTAACTGATTATTAAGAATACTTTAACAGCCACAAATGAATGTCAGTAATTTGAGTTTTTAAACTACTGTGAAACTCTGATGGGACCTCTCTCCTTCGTCTTCTTTTTTTTTTTTTTATGCTGGGAGCCTACAACAGGGATACTCGCGCTGCTTTGTCTGAGGACCACTTTTGCACAATCACTGGAGACCAGAGGCTGGTTAATAAACATTAAACAAGCAAACACTTGTGATGGAGATTACCCATAGCACTAGCTACGGGTAATCTCCTCCACACAAGTGTTAGCATTACTGTAATTTAATTCACACTGATTATGTGTTTATCAGACCCCGATGAAAGCTTACAGTTGATATGCAGTGGTCTGTTTGTTTGTTTTTTGCCATTTAGAAGAATAAACTTAAAGTGTTACTTCACCAGGAAGACAAAGTGTTGTGGTAGTTTTCTGTATTCACATAATATTTAACATTTTCCTATATTTTCCTTATTTCTTATCTATATTAACTTGAATACCCGCCCAGAATGACAAGTCATTCATTTTACCATATTTGGAAGCTGCTGCTGCTGCGTTTTAGCTGCAGTTGATTGAATTGGTTACTTTTGAAGGACTCTGTACAGCATTAAACATAGCTGGAACCCCTTCAGTAGATTTTATTTAGTGAATTATAAAATGTCTGTGGGCCAGCCAACGTCCTGTGGCAATCCTGAGTTGGTTCCTGAGTCATACGTTAAGTATTACTGCTCTGCCTCTGAATGATGGTGTTAAATAAAAATGTAAGAGATTGCCAGAGTTATTAAATCAGCTCTGTTGCCAAAAGAGTTCAGAGTGCCCTGAGCTAAGTAAACATTGTGATCATGTCTGACGGCATCGCCTTGCCAGCCTCTGTGAAGGCTAGTTAATGTTATCAGTATATTACAGCTATAAGCGGTGAGTCTCCAGCTGCAGTTCAACGCAGTCACAATACCAAAGGATGTCGAAACTGATAAATAAAGCATAAAATGTACAGAATCACTAATAAAATGAACTGGCTGTTTTATTATGTGATCCTACTCATTATTAGGTGCCTGAATTTGACTGTACTGTTAGTTCAACCCAGATATCTACAGGATTGATTCAACATCAGACATATCTGAAGTTATTGGAAAGGCAGTTTTGTCTCTTTTTGATTACACTAAGAGGATCTTTGCAGTTTTATTTCTTTACAGGCTAGTAGATCCTAAACAAGTCTCTTTATTAGATACATAGAAATGAAACTTATGCTGCTACATGACTCTCACAAAGACGAAATTTGAGAAAAAGGGTGACTTGCCCTCTAATAGCACACAAAGTGATCAGGCAGCGCAGGGACGAAGAGGCTGAGGGTCAAAATGCACTCAGTTCTATTGGATGGATGTTTTTTATTGGGGACACGATTCATCCCGGAATTGAAAGCATTTTCTGTGTCATTTCAATTGACCTTAATACACCAAGGGGTTTTCAGGACATCATTACCGAACAGAAATAGAATTTGGGCCAAACACTTTGACTGGAGGTGACTGACAGGAGAGATGAAGTACAGAAACACAAACGGGAATTTTCTGTTACTTCCCCTCACCTGTTTGATATTCAGGATGTTGTCTGGTTACAGGCATCCAGACTTCACTGCCCTATTAAATATCATGGTTTAACCACCTTTCAATTTTTTACAAGCGAGACATATTCAAGTGTTGGCAGTCCGGAATCAGTGCAGTTAGACACCAAAGTGTAAATAGATTAAAGATTAAAGTGTATTTTCTTTTGGTAGTTGACTATAGAAACAGAGACGTGGAAAGCAAAGGGGATGACATGCAATCAAAATTATTTTGTAGTAGCATCAGACTGGGGACAGTGTGGTTAAATATTTCCCAAAGGGCTAGACCACAGGGAGAGTTTGCCAGCAGGTCTTCAGCAGGACTGCTCATCAGATCATCTTTAAAAGCACCACAAGAGATCTGAAAAGTGCTGCCACAGCACTGTGAAAAATGCCAGGTTGGTTTTGCTTAAAAAATGCTAATTTAAATAAAAGAAGGTTTTTAATAACTTGAATGTGACTGAATCTGCAGTACTTAATGTGGACAAGTCACGTAAACCTAATAAACTAAGCCATATTCTCCAAATGTCCTCTGTAATGGACATTTATGGATGGATGGATGGACACGTGTGTGTGTGTGTGTGTGTGTGTGTGAGATTTACATTGCTGTGCTTGAGAGCCACCATCTACCGGAACCAAATTCCCTGTATGTGTCTGCACATATACTTGGCCAATAAACATGATTCTGATTTGGTTTTGGTCTATATCTTTTGACTTATTTGAGCTACCCTACTGATGTGCTCAATAGAGGACATTCCGGCCTTTCCAATGAGGCAGGAAATCAGAAAAAAAGATAGTTTAAGTTAAGGATACTTTTTACGTCAGTTCTCAGGTGGATTTTTTTTTTTGAGCAAATAATGGGGACTACAATCTGAAAATGCACTAAGATTGACCAACTTTAGAAAGCTGAAGTTGAGCAGCTGTATTTCCATCATGAGTTAAGACACACTGCGTTCCAGGAACGCTGGTTTTATTAACCTTAACAACCTTGAATAGGTTCACTGAACAAGTGTCATTAATCGCTGCAGACACAGTCATGGTGGGCTGTTAATAGCTAAGCCTTTACAGTGTTCTTCAACACACAAATGTCGTCACTCAAATAATGATCACAATGTCATTAAATTAAGCATTTAAAGGTAAACATTAACAGTCCTGTGAGTCTTTGCACTTGTCACTGCAGACGTGTCTTCTGCTTAGAAAAAAATGTGTAAAAGTATGAAATGTGGACAAGAAGCGCAGATCAGTCAAGTAAGTCAATTTAAAATGTGAGTATAAGTTGCTGAATACAAAATAAGATAATAGGTAATGGATCACCCAGATTATAACATCATACATGACATAAAATGGTTAGAGAAGATAGGCATGCTAACAAAACAATTAGCCTTTATTTACTAACAGCTGAAAATTTATGGAAAGACAAGATTATATACAGACAGAGACTGATTACATGAAACAATGGAAAGTAATTAAAGACAGGTAAAACTGATGAGTGCTAGAAAAACAGTTGCAAAGGAGGAAAGAGCCGGAGGTAAAACTAGAACCAGGTACATGAAAAACTTAAAAGTAAACTACAAAATTACATGAAGACAGAGACTAAACAAGTTAGCAGAGATGGAGGAACACAGGAGTCCATAGAAACTGGGAACACAGCAACAAAAGAACAGCCTCAGTCCCAAAGGATTGAAACTGAAGGTTTAAAGATACGTGTTGTAGAAACCTTAAAACCCTTAAAAAAAGCTTACTTGACTTTAATGGAAAACTGCTCTTGTTCCACCCAGGTCTGATCATGTCGGCGGTGACAGTTATCATCCTCATCCTCTACTTTGTGATCGACACCTTTGGGGTCCAGGGTCGGCAGTGGTTAGCTGAGTGCACCCCCATTTACATTCAGTATTTTGTCAAGTTCTTCATCATCGGTGTGACAGTTCTGGTCGTCGCTGTCCCTGAGGGGCTGCCGCTTGCTGTCACCATCTCTCTGGCCTACTCTGTCAAGGTGAGCAGGAGGGAATTATGTAAATTTAACATTAATAGAATCCTCTCAAAATCATGTCAGAGACGCTGAGGTTTTAATGAGTGCACCTTCATCGTCCATCCCTTAGAAAATGATGAAAGACAACAACCTGGTGCGTCACCTTGACGCCTGTGAAACCATGGGCAACGCCACGGCTATCTGCTCCGACAAGACGGGTACTTTGACTATGAATCGGATGACAGTGGTGCAGGCATACATCGGCGATACGCACTACAAGACTGTCCCAGAACCAGATGCTATCAAGCCGGATACTTTGGAAATGATGGTCAACAGCATCTCTATCAACTCAGCGTACACCACCAAGATCCTGGTGAGTCTTTAACTATCACATCGACAAATAGTGACACTCAGGTGTTCCAAATGCAATTATTTGGCTCTGGAGCATCTATAATAATAAACAGAGAATATTCAGTTATTTATGGGCCTAACATTTCATTTATGTTAAAGAAAGAAGCTGTGCTGTGATAAATGCTTTATTAATGGAAGTCTTCACTACGCAAGTTATGAGTATAGACTGACAAGCATATAAACTGCAACATGAGTGCCTGCCTGAGGCAGTAACTATAGTTGGGACAATGTTTCCTGATGATTACACAGGAGAAAAAACATCTAAGCAAAGAACATACCAGAAAAATCTGAGCACAATCTAATGAATGAGATTCAGCATCATCCCTTCTTATATTGAGTGTATATTTATGAGCCAATACAAACTGTTGATCGCATTCTTCACAAACATACAACTTTGCCATACTCTGAAAATTTGGCCTCAGGTGTGCATAAATGTGAGCAGCATTCGCTCTGGGAGCTTTCTGTCCTTCTGTTTATTGTCCACACCCCAAGCAGAAAGTGGTAACGCATTACCTACATACAGTAACCATCCATTTTACAGATCAAAGTACTGTATTCTTATTACAGTATGTACACTAGTATGTAGTGTTATTAGTGTTTGGTAGTCCATAGTTTTATTATAGCGAGTGTCATCATGACAGAGAAAACAAGAGGTAGTCAGATAATGAAAATATCTCAAAAAAGTAATCTCTGATATATTTTGTATATGTTAGATATAAAGCCCTTTTTTTATTTCATTTTGATGATTATGGCAATACAGAAATGTCTGGTGTCTGAAAATTATGGTCATTTACACACTGGATGCTTTTCAAGTTACGAATTACAACATCAGTGCGGTGTGGCATGGAGATGATCAGCTTGTGGCACTGCTGAGGTGTCACTGAAGCCCGCAGTGCTTGATATCAGCCTTCAGCTCTTTTTATATTGGACATTCCTCTCCCTGACAATATCCCCGTAGATTCAGAGTAAGTGGAGTTGGCTCGCTTATCAAACAGAGTAAAATTATGGTCAACAAACCGTTTGGTAGCGGTTTTGGCACTGTGTGTAGGTTTTAACTCCTGCTGGAAAAGGAAACTGTCATTTCCATAACGCATGTCCTCACATGGAAGCATGAAGTGCTCTAAAATCTCCTAGTACATCGCTGTGTTCATATTGGACTTGAAACCCAAGCTAACGCTGGCTCATGTCAAGTCAAGAAAAATGAATACTAACATTTTAATTAAAATCATTTATCTGATATAATTTATTATATTAATCTATTAGATATGTGTCACCATGTGTGTTAAGTGATTTTAAATTATAGTATTAAACCTGTTTCATGGCACCAACATGTCTGACAGTTACTGTTAACCTGCACATGTACCTGAATTGCAGCTACAGAAGCGTTGTGTTCTTCAGATGGTCTTGTTTTGTGTGTATAGACCCAATGAAATGATTCAAATTTGATTAATTCTGAGGCCCAAGCTTCTCTGATTGAACCAGCAAACATCAAACAAACCTGAACCGCTGGATGTTCCTAGTGACCCGCTTTGCTTGTAACTTTAATCATGTTTAAGCACCTCCAAACTTTTTCTCGCTCCTCAGCCCCCGGAGAAAGAAGGCGGCTTACCTCGCCATGTGGGTAACAAAACTGAATGTGCTCTGCTGGGCCTGGTGCTGGAGCTGAAGAGGGACTACCAGCCAATCAGAGATGAAGTCCCCGAAGAGAAACTCTACAAGGTTTACACCTTTAACTCCTCCCGCAAATCCATGAGCACGGTGCTAAAGAACGCTGACGGAGGCTTCCGGATGTACAGCAAAGGAGCATCAGAGATCATCCTGAGGAAGTAAGAACAAACAGTCTGAGGAAAGATGGCTGCTTGGGTGGACACAGTAACCTTTTGGTATACCTTTATAATCTCCCTTCACTTCCTCTGATTCTCTGTCTTCTCCCAGATGCTCTCGTATCTTGGACGCCCAGGGCCAGCCTCGTGTCTTCAAGCCCAAGGACCGTGACGAGATGGTGCGAAAGGTGATTGAGCCGATGGCGTGCGATGGGCTGAGGACCATCTGTGTGGCCTACAGGGACTTTCCTGCTGAGGCTGGAGAGCCAGACTGGGACGCTGAGAATGACATCCTCAACGAACTGACCTGCATCGCCGTGGTGGGGATCGAAGATCCCGTCAGACCTGAGGTACAGCACCACCGATCAAAATGCTCTCTGTAGTTAACAGCTCATGTTGGCCAATGTGCCTTCAGGTTTCAAAATCAACGATGTTACCTGCTGAAGAATCTTTATACAGCTTATTTATTCTTATCATTTTCACCTTTCCTCTTTGGGCGTGTTTATGGCCAAACATCCCAATCTTTATTTCTGTAGCATTGTTGAAAACACTGTGTTGCAAAGCAGTCATATAAACAAAATATTAAAGTTATAAAAAGAGTTTCCATTCATCGTTTTAATTAGGCTAGAGCTTATCCCAGATGTCATAGGCTGAGGAAAAGACTTCTCCTTGGACAGTTTGCCAGTTCTTTACAGCATTTACACAGAAAAGCAGACAAGCATTCTTTCACATCTGTGGCTAATTAACAAGCATAAATTAACCTGCATGTTAACATGCGTTTTTGAGACTCTGGGAAGACATCAGAGTACATGCAAAGTCCTCTGAAAGCCCCGAGCCAATCAGAGGGTTTGAATCAGGAACCTCCATGATGTGAGGTAACAGTGCTAACAAATGCACCAACATGCTTTCCAGCCACCATTCCAGCTTTCCATTCCACCATTAGCTAAGAATGTGTGCAGTTAAATATGAAGTTAATGCACATTTCTTGGTCCAAATTACTTCAATTGAATACCACTGTGGTAGCTTAGCATGATTCACAGGTGAAAATAATCCTGATTTATTTTTATACTGGACTGTGGTGCAGCCACCATTCCTCTCATTGGCTGCCCCTCATAAACGGAAGGTTAGAGTAACAGGTGGATGGGGCTTCTTTGCTGACAGCCAGATCTGTATTAGCTCATAGGCACTACTTGCACATAAACTGACCTTGTTGTTGGAAGAGTATCCATCGCTTTGTGTATATATGACAAAAACATTAGGACAACCATAGAGGGCCCCCTTTACGAAGATATTTAAAGAGGACTGTGCGACTGGCCAGACTGCTATGAAACCCCAAGGTGAATGGTTTCAGCGTAGCCATGTTGGTGTTTTGAAATGTGACAGGGATCTTCTTTTCTGATTCTTAATGTGATCAGCATAGTTTGAAGCTAGTCATTGAGACCATAAACTTATCAGGAAACTATACTGAAGTCACAGAGTAAGGGATATGAGGACCATTTTTCCATAGATTTCCATGGCAGCTTCAGTGGTTAGTGGTGGTTAGTATGGAATTGCATGGGCTTACCATTTCACGTCTTATATGGTTTTGACGTTTTTTTGTTTCTGATTTGTTTGTGATTCGCTGTTTAGATAAAATCGTGGATCTGTTTTAACCATGCGAAACCGCAGCTCCGAATAAAAAGGCTGAACATAAAACAATGTTCGCTGTTCACCAAAAAGACTTTTCTATTCACGATGTGTCATTTCCTCTTTTGACCTGAAGTGTGGATAACCTAACAGTCAGTGAGAGCAGAGAGGAAGAGACCATGATGTTATTCAACAAGAAACACACTGTAATTATGGATTACATAATTACCATTCAGTCATATGTCACATCCCAGTGCCTTGATAAATATTGTATTTTCATGGGAGATGAATTTACATAATTTCCACTTTGCCTAGAAAAAAGGTAAAAGGACTGATAAGCTGTCTATGCATGCAGACTGACAGATAATCCAGTTGTTTCTACCTCCCGCTGTCCTCCTCCCTATCCTCTCGCTAACAGCTCTGTGCGATTTGTGTGTGTTTTTGTTTCTCACACTTCCAGAAGGTCCCTATTCAAAGACGTTCATAGTGTTGCAATCAGTTGTTCACATGAAAAGCGCCGGAAATAGCTTTGTTGCTTTACTAAACAGCAGTAAGAGGCTGCTGCTTCTGTTGCCTGCAATAATCCAGACTTCACGTAGGGATCAGTAGATCTACGGGATAATCAGAGTTTGTGGTGTGCAGCTTGTTTTTTCTGATGATGCAAAAATAAGTTAAACAGACCAAACAGGGAGCTTAAATTTTCTTCATTGAGATTGAAACTCATCTGAGAGGCTGCTCTTGACTATATTGTTATATTTGTGTAAGCATGCCATTAACTTTCTCCTAACATGAAGACCGAAGTTTGTCCTAGCCAGATCTTACAGTCCGGATGCTCTGAAGTGTTAAATGAGGCCTGTAATGAAGCTGAGAAAGCATCAGTGCTGCTGCCTGCTGCTTTAATGTCAGAGCACAAAGATCACCAACAGGATGGAAATAACCGGAGAGCAGCAGGAGTCAATCAGCAGCACAGTGTTTATCTCTTCACAACTTGTGATGGGCACAAGACTGAATATTTTGGCTTTGTGCTACAAATAATTTTTTCTCCTCATGTTCAGAAAAAGTGTTTTTGTAACTGCAAGTAACCCCAAAATCAAGCAGTCAGTGCTGAAAGTTAAGAAACACAAGGATCCCCTTTTAACCTGATTGGTTCATTAACTTAAAGGGTAATGTATGCAGACCATTCATAGAGCATTTCCTACAACATTTTACTATAATTAATGTAAGTGTCCGCAGTGTTGCGCCAAAGTCCTGAGCCACCCAGTATTTCTTTACATTGTGCTACAAAAGGAGCCAGACTAATTTTAAAAATGCTCTTTAGCAATAGATCTCTAGGCTTTCTGAAGCTCTTTTAACATTTTTCTTTGAACACTGGCTGCTTTTTCACTCATTTTCAGCCCAGCCCTTGTACATAAACCTTTGAGAGAATGTTTTTTTGTTTCTTAAGCAATTTAGCAGGTGCATTTTGATGCTTGAATGATTCGTAGGTCACTAACTCCAGGTAATGAACCAGCGTTGTGTCTACACATAGCAGACAACTTAGCAAAAAAACAATTTTAAATTGTGTCTTTGGGAACTTTGTTACTCACAGCCTGTAAGAAAAACACATCTGTACCTTTTCTTTAGCCAAATCCATTAAAAATCCCAACGATCTTATAGTTTGACAGCAGAAAATCTTTGCTCCAACAAGTTGATTCCCAAAGAGATGAAAACTCTGCATATCTTGGCATGTTGTGTAATATGTCCTTAAAATTATGAGGAAAAGCGAGACGCAGAAGACAAAAAAAGAAGTGGGATGCCTAAAAAGACCTGACACAGGAATAGAGAGATGAAGCTGGCCGTTCAGGTGATCCACTGTTTACTTCCTCGTCAGAAATGGTCTCAGTGGAAGGATGGCTGTTAAGAAGCCATTCTTAAGGAAGGGAAACAGTATGCTGCACCCTGGCTGAGGCACTTTAAATGAGAACTGTGCAACATTTGTATGTATTTGTAAGCAAAAAATGTGCCGTCTGTTGGGTTCTGGTCATATCAGTCAGACCACCTGAGGAGCATAAGAAGCAGTCAGCACCTCTCTCGTCTGTGTACCTTTGTGTAGTCACTATCACCTCTCCCAGACCGAGATGAATGAATCTCAGGGTGGGTTTAAGAACAACGACAGTGGTTCTCATGTAAAATCTGCTGCTGCTGGAATTGGACCTCTTACACACAAGCTCTGCTGCAGTATAAACTCTTTCTTTAACATCTTTTAAGACGCTGAAGAAACAACCAACAGAATGTTCGTGACTTTTTTTTTATTTGGGTTAAAGGCAAGGGGTCCTTCCTTATGTTTCAGACTCAAAATCATCTTCATCTTTTCTGTCACTCTGCATTCATCTTCAAGGTTGTTTTTTTTACTGTGAAAATGCTCAAGTCCCTTTGTTCTGACTCTCCTCCAGGTACCCGAGGCTATTTCTAAGTGCCAGCGTGCAGGCATTACCGTGCGCATGGTTACCGGAGACAACATCAACACTGCTCGTGCCATTGCAACTAAGTGTGGCATCCTGCTGCCTGGGGAGGACTTCCTGTGTCTGGAGGGCAAAGAGTTCAACCAACAAATAAGAAATGACAAGGGAGAGGTAAAACGTCTACAAAAATAATCCAACTGCAAGCAACATTCATATGAGCATTTAAGTTTAAAAAAAAAGAAGAAGCTTTGACCAGAAAATGACTCTGAAATGAACTCAAAACAACCACCAAATTAAGTCAATACGGCCCAATAAGTCTTTGTTGCTAAGGCCAGATTTCCACTAGCCCATTACATCTCTGGTGGCCTGACGGCCCTGAGTTAACCCCCTTCCAAAGGCTTATGTACAAAAGCAGCAAACATTAAGTTTCCTAATGTATCTTATAGGTATCTTATTAGAGCGAGGGAGATGTTGTGTTTGGTAGTGTTTTACCTGTTCAGCTGATACCGTCCACACAGCACTCTTTACAACAGTATCATGTTAAACTGATCTGTCTGCATTAAGCTTATATCAGCTGATTTTTGGGGGTTTGGGAGGTAGAGAGCTTTGTTTACTGATTGTACGGATAGTGAAGCTTAAATTGCCCCTGATGCATCCATCAGTGTGTGAGTGTTTGTGTACATAAAGTGCTGCATGAGTGTGTGTAAATGGATGGATGCAGCTCATAGCATAAAAAGTGCTTTGAGTGCTCAGTAAATCTAGAAAAGCTTATAGAACTATCAGTGCAGCCCATTAACCAATTAATCAGTTTAACTCTTAAGCAGTTGGCTGTTTCTCTCACTGCCTGTCCTGGAGTTTCGGACATTGTCTTTATTTGGATAGGACAGACACAGCAAATGGCCTCGAGGCAAATTCAAACACATGCATTAGGTTTATGACTTATGCTTTGCTTGCTCTGCCCAGTAAAGTGCTCAGATTTGTCCAGTTAAAGATGAAGCTCCAAGTCCCCATTATTGCTCTGTACCCAACTGGGATGGTTATTTTTATATGCTAGAAAAAGATTATTTGAAACTTAAACATGTCATTTCTAGGTGGAACAAGAGCGTCTGGACAAAGTTTGGCCCAAGCTGCGTGTTCTGGCTCGATCATCACCCACAGACAAACACACTCTGGTCAAAGGTGGGTTTGTTCTGACAGGAGACTGTTGAGCTGCTTTAAATCTGCGTGTATATGTAAACCTTTAGTCAAGCTGCTGTAAATGGATCTACTTTTTTCCCCCTTCTTTTTTTGAATGATCATGCACTCACTAGGTTCTTGTTGTTTCACTCTGCTGATCAGGCATCATCGACAGCACAGTGGGCGAAACCCGACAGGTGGTTGCAGTGACAGGAGACGGTACCAACGACGGCCCCGCCCTCAAGAAAGCTGATGTTGGCTTTGCTATGGTAACCACTTCTTCATTTTTTTTCCCCTCGTCCTTTTCTTCTGTTGCCTTTGTTTCACGGCTCTTCATTGCTTCACTCTTCTGCTACTTAAGTTTCTCTGCATCATTACCTAAAGAAAAAAATAAGCCTTTCAGTTAATTATGTTTCTAATGCAGCCATAAAATAGGTCATTTCTCTAAACGTCATTGACAATAACTCTTCAGTTTAATGCCGCGGATTCATTAAGATAGCTGTGAAATGGAATAATAAATCAATAAATGTTGAGTTCGGTGCATTCAGCACAGTGGGGCCCCACTCTACCACCTTGTCACTGCCTTTGTTTTCTACAGATCAACTCACAGAGAGTGAGACTAATGCTGTTTCTTTATGTTGTCTGTTTTATCAACCAGAGTGCATGTACTCCGGGGTGCATTTTTGCACATTTTTGAGGGTATTTGGACAGATTTTCTCAAAAAGGAAAAAAGAAAAAACTGAAATTACAGTTTAATTAAAGAAGTGGTAAGAGCAGAATGTGTTTTGAGCAAGAAAGTTAACACTTTTAACTAAAGTTAATAGATAAAAAGACCGACCCAGCCAAAATTAATTGCTAAAATGATTAAAACAAATAAGTAATGGTCACGAAGTGGAAAAAAGTTGAATTCGCTTAACAAAACAGTTGAAACTGTTAGATTGTTCACCCATTTACAAAAACATGTTATGGATAATCATTCATAATGTGAAGCTACAATGCTGAATTATTAAAATCTGGAAATATTAGTTCAACACATGTATGGATAAAAACATTATGGTTTTAGCTAAACAAACTTAATGAAAAAAATACAATAGCTGGTTAAAAATATGTGGAATTTATTAGTTAAATGTAGTTAAAATATTCAGGTAAAAGTAAAAATGAACAAACAAAATAGTTTAAAAACACATTTAGATAGAAAAATATCAAGCTCTGTTTCATGGCGAGCGTTTGGCTATCTTATCCCACCTTTCCAGACCTCACAGCACTTCAATTTACAGAGTCAGATATCGCCCTCTTTAAGAATTTTATGATATTACTTCACCTTGAAAATAATCACGAGAAAGCGTTTAGAGACATCACTAAAATATTTATCTGTAACTGCATATTAGCCACCTAGCTTAATTGTCTCTGGCATAGACTGATCCTGGAGTTACTTTACACCTTCCTGGGTCACGAGCGACATCTTGGCTTTTTAGATATACTATGTCCCTCTGCTAATAATGCAACTTCACCTGTGCATTTCATGCTTTGGAGAAGCAAAGCATGACATACACATGATGGACCGCCGTGTCTATTACACACTTTGCCCTGATATTGGGTTCATGAGACTACAGGAGGGTCAGTCTGAGGAAAAGTGGAAAGATGGTATCTCCTTGAAATGTCCTTCCTATAACTTAATTTCATTATATCAGTACTTTTTTATGATTTAGATAGATATTTCCTCATTAGGTTAATATCCAAGTATATCTGGTTACTGTAATTTATTAAGTTTGTTTGTTTTTTCTTTCTCTCAAACATCTCATGCTCTGTTTTCATATTCTTTAATTAAATAAACAAAAGCAGAAGAATAACCATAAAGAGGAATCGCACTAGAAAGCTGTATAAGCAATGGTGACTATGCATATTATTGTTGACCAACTGATTACTTAAAAAAAAGAAAGTTAAACAAATGAAATTGGTAGCTGGAAAAACTAGATAAGCAGTTATTATAGTAGCTAAAATTATAAATTAAAAGAAGGAGCTTCTTGGCTAAAAGTGTGACTAGCACTTTATCAAGACACAAATGTGGTAAATTCATAGCTGAAAGTGTGTAATAACAGTTAAAGTAATGATGTTGAGAAATGCCTGAAAGTGGTCACTAAACGCGAAGAATAGCAATCAAAAGGTAGTGGGTGGGTGGCTGAAACTCCCATTTGAGTTTTATATATGACCAATAACAATCCTCTGGGCGATCTGAGTGTGTTTTATAGATTTAAGTGAAACGACATTTATTAGTTTTTATTTTTCGTTAACAAATTAATTTTCAGACTCCTGAAACTTGAGTTGAGTAATCCATCACATGATGGTTACATTTACTCTGGTAAAAGTATTGTTAATGCACATGACTCGCACATCAATAATAAATGAAACACTTCAAGCAAGTTTTAAGTAGGGAAATAGTCTCCAAAAAAAAAAAAAAAAAATCTAGCAGGAAATACATTTACAACCAGTGGCATGCTGTAAGGAAATATGTCTTGGAAAATGTGCTGCTTTTCAGGATACATTTGAAAAGGGTCAGCAATCATCATTATTTACAATATTTATAGCTTTCTTCCAGGTGGCGTAGAAAGTTGTTACTATGGAAAATGAGAACATGAGACGTCCAAGTTTGGACTTGAGCTCAGCCCGGATAAAATGATCATCTTCCCAGTAGAACTTTTGGAACGAAACATATTGGGGCTTGTGTTTATAGCACAAAGCTAACTCACTAAGGGGAAACATCGCACTCCTTATTTACATCACCTAAAAGTTTCAAAAGTTAAAACCATATTTATCTTTGGAGGAAATAGAAAAGAGATAAAATTGCATAAACATGTTTTTGTTTGACACATGTCAAAATATGTCTCAGTAAACTTTCTCCTACAGCCACTCATAAACGTTTGTTTGCTGTGTAAATTCAGTTGTTTTCACTGTCCCAGTTTTATGATTCCCAAGCGCTGCACCTACGTCAGCTCATTTGTTATGTAACACTTTTGACGCACCAACCGAATCTTCATCATATTTACCTCAAAGTGAAGACTGTTTTAAGTAAACTTGTACAGGAGCTCAGGATGGCAACTGCAACTTGTAAAGTAAATGGTAAATGGCCTGTATTTGTATAGCGCTTTACTTAGTCCCTATGGACCCCAAAGCGCTTTACACTACATTCAGTCATCCACACATTCACACACTGGTGATGGCAAGCTACATTGTAGCCACAGCTGCCCTGGGGCGCACTGACAGAGGCAAGTATTCCAATTCTGCAGGAAAACCACAGACCTGGCAACCCAGTGCCAAATGGTAGCATTTCTTTGTATCGTGCAAGTTTGTAAAACAGAGACAGCCTGCGAGTGAAGTGTTTGTAGATTTAAAGGATCAAATTCTGCTGTATTTGAAACTGAATGAATTAACACTGTGGCGTCATAACTCTCACCTCTAAAGAGTAACACTGAACAGATGATCAGCTGACAACTTGCCAATGTGTATCTGTTTAAAAACAGAATACATGCATGTGGACGAGTTCACAGCTGACTCCTCTGTGTGTTGTTGTGACCTTTATTTACTGGGGAAAGTCATCTGAACATCAGGCTCTCCTGCAGGGTGCTGAGCAGCTGCTGTGCTGTCAAACAATTCCCTGATAGTAGCTACTGTTCCTAAACACATCACAAAAGCAATTTGTGGATTTAAAGCAGTGACCTTTCAGCGCTTATATGTCCCATTTGGAACATTTTCAGTTTCAACTCCAGCGTCCCTGTTCAATTATCGCCTGGTTAGCTGGGAAACTGAAAGCGATTCACCTCCATCTGTTTGAGCGAGTCTGCCTGCGTAGAGAGACACAGCAGCTCAGAACTTCTTTAGAATTGCTGTTTAAGACAAGGCCGACCCTCCTGTTTTATTTTTACTTTACTGTCAGTTGAGCAGCATAAAATACTCTCTGTCAAAGCTTTTCAGACTTTAGATGAAAGGAGGTTTAAAAATTAAACGTCCAGCTGGCGGATTGTTCGCATCTACAGGAGATGAGAAAGAACCCAACAATAAGTCGTCGCTTTATCCATAGTGAAGCTGAACAGCTGGACTTTCTCCTTGTACCTGTCATACTGCTCTGCCGTTACAACCTCGGCAGCATTATTCCACTGCGCTTGTACCCTGCGGATGAGCTAGGAAGCAGTAACATTAAACTCCACAGAAAGATAATCGTTTATCCATCTCTGAGGAAACTGTGGGCGCTCCAGCTCAACATTTTGGTGTTAGATGAGCTTCAGTAAGCCAGAGTTCTCTTGCTCACAGCTGAGATGTTTATGCACAATTAGTTAGTCACGGTTCCAAGGCTTTTTAGGTTGTGACTACTGGGACTCATTAAGGTAAAGCAATGTGTTATCTGTGACCGCTTACCACAGTTTGTCTAGCTGAGTGGTGATCAGTCAAGCATTGGGAGAAGATGGCAGTAAATGTGGAATTTGTATAGCAGAAATACTTGTTGTTTCTGTCTTCTTACCTTATTAATCACTTTACAGTCCCTCAGATTTATGTGTTGTGCACTTTGGGGATCTATAAGTGCGAGTCTGAGAGGCAGTTTAGTACAAAGCCAGGCTGATGTTTTGACTTGGTCTCCACATTTTTAGAGCCTCAGTTAGCTTGTTGGCCATCTTGTTATATGGAGCTTGTCAGGATTGTCAAGTCAACTCAGATTTATTCATAAACACAGAAGTATCAGCTGCGGATGAAAGTGCTGTACTACTAATAGAATAAAGTGACCATAAAGTAATAGACCAATAATAATATTCCACAGGAAGCCATGTTATTTATTGGATAACTGCATGAAAAGTGCTCCAGAAGGCACCAAAGTGACAAACACAGCTGAGAGGGCCGGTTTCATTAATTAATTTCGCTAACGGTAGCATTTTTAAGCAAGTTCAGTGTCCAGTGTAACAATAAAATCCTGAGTTTTCAGTTGTTTGGTGTAACCTGCTTGTAAAACTCAGCACTGTCTTACACCTGCTCTGCTCTCTGCTTTGTGTTCCAACAAAGACAAATTGCTGCAAGTTTTGCTTTGGTTGATGTTCAAGTATGTGATCAATGTCGTGTCCACGGTATCTAAAGTGTTTTCTTTCTTTTGGACTGCTTGATCTGAGCAAATCACTCTTCAGCCGTGATTCCGAGCATCTTCCATTTCTGTCTTTGTTCGACAGTTTTTGTCTTTGCACATTATGTTTAAGGCAAACTGCGCAGTCTTTATGTAAAATCACATAGCCTGTGACAAAAAATCAGATTGGAAGAGAGTGCCAGACTTTAGTCTTTTACATTATAGGTCTTGTAGTGCTCAAGGGGGAAGCCTGGTTATTGTAAACATTATCTTCATGACTGAAGTTGGGCATTTGAACACAGGACCTATGAGCATTGAATGGATTTTGGAGCCAATGGACTTTTTGGAGGAACGATTTGAAATGACCTTAAGCATCAATAAACAGCAGCAGGCCCACACCTGGTGCTTGGGATGGTAATTTACGAGCAGTGTTTTAAACATGAGGAGGAAAATAGAAAAATTCTGATTTTGTACCCGGAGATGTCATTTGACTGAAATCTAAAAAATAATACTGTAGTTTGTGTCTCTTCCAGTACTTTATGACTCTAACTCACCACCCTAGCTCCAAATACACCGTTTCTCACAGATTCAGATATTTGAACTTTTTTATAAATACCATAAAAATACAAAAATGTATGTATAAGAAAGTTTCGATGAACACTTTTTAGCAGAGTTGATTCATTGCTTGTGTGGATCTTGTGTGAACAGAGTTTCCGTATTTGTTGGAAACTTGGCATCACAGAGACTGTTTGCTCTTATTCAAGGACTAATGATGCCTCTCTGCTTCCTTTCAGGGAATCGCCGGCACAGATGTGGCCAAAGAGGCATCTGACATCATCCTGACTGACGACAACTTCACCAGTATTGTCAAGGCCGTCATGTGGGGGAGGAACGTCTACGACAGCATCTCCAAGTTCCTGCAGTTCCAGCTGACCGTCAATGTGGTGGCCGTGATTGTGGCGTTCACAGGCGCCTGCATCACACAGGTAAACCGCTTATGTCTGAAATTACAGCTCATTTAGCACACCAGTTTGAGTCTGAATAACGACAGACGGCTCAGTGGGACCTCCTGAATATGAGCTGAAAAAGCTGGAACGAACACGTGTGAATGAGAATTTTTAAAAAAATCTCACATAATGTTTGTAACTACACAACCCAAAAAGAAAAGGACGTCACGATCACTGGATTTTTCAAAATCTTCTGTCTAAATTCAGTCTCACAGTTTGATATTGTTTGCTTGTGTTTATAAAAAAAAAGAAAGAAGAAGTTTAGAGTACGAGTGGGCAGAAAAAACTGCGGAGGTTCTATTTTTGGTTGTGTTTGTGTGCGTGTGTGTCATCACTCTGTAAAAATGATAGCTTGAAAAGGGGTGTAGTGTGGGGTCATGGAAGCAATCCATTTAAATTTGGCTTCGATCCACCAAAGTCTTAAAGGTGAATTTATTGTGGTGAATGCAAAAAAAAAAAAAATACAATTCTAGTAAGAACTGCCCAGAGAGTGAGTTGTTTGGCAAAGGTTTGTGTGCTCAGTGCTTCTTTGTAGTGTTTTGCTTTAGATTTTTTGTTTCCAAACATCATTTCAAATTTTCATTTTTCACATGTATGTTAATAGCAGTTTGTGAATGCCACAACCAAAAAGCAGAGTACCAGTGTGGCTGAATCTTAATGTCAGGTGTCAGATTTGGAGCACATACATACAGTGGCTTGCAAAAGTATTCGGCCCCTTGAACTTTTCCACATTTTGTCACATCACAGCCACAAACATGAATCAATTTTATTGGAATTCCACGTGAAAGACCAATACAAAGTGGTGCACACGTGAGAAGTGGAACGAAAATCATACATGATTCCAAACATTTTTTACAAATTGGGTGTGCGTAATTATTCAGTCCACTGAGTCAATACTTTGTAGAACCACCTTTTGCTGCAATTACAGCTGACACTCTTTTAGGGTTTGTCTCTACCAGCTTTGCACATCTAGAGACTGAAATCTTTGCCCATTCTTCTTTGCAAAACATCTCCAGCTCAGTCAGATTAGATGGACAGCGTTTGTGAACAGCAGTTTTCAGATCTTGCCACAGATTCTCGATTGGATTTAGATCTGGACTTTGACTGGGCCATTCTAACACATGGAGATGTTTTGTTTTAAACCATCCCATTGTTGCCCTGGCTTCATGTTTAGGGTCGTTGTCCTGCTGGAAGGTGAACCTCCGCCCCAGTCTCAAGTCTTTTGCAGACTCCAAGAGGTTTTCTTCCAAGGTTGCCCTGTATTTGGCTCCATCCATCTTCCCATCAACTCTGACCAGCTTCCCTGTCCCTGCTGAAGAGAAGCACCCTGAGATCATGATGCTGCCACCACCATATGTGACAGTGGGGATGGTGTGTTCAGAGTGATGTGCAGTGTTAGTTTTCCGCCACACATAGCGTTTTGCATTTTGGCCAAAAAGTTCCACTTTGGTCTCATCTGATCAGAGCACCTTCTTCCACAGGTTTGCTGTGTCCCCCACATGGCTTGTGGCAAACTGCAAACGGGACTTCTTATGGTTTTCTGTTAACAATGGCTTTCTTCTTGCCACTCTTCCATAAAGGCCAACTTTCCCCCACCTGAGCTGTAGATCTCTGCGGCTCGTCCAGAGTCACCATGCGCCTCTTGGCTGCATTTGTGATCAGCGCTCTCCTTGTTCGGCCTGTGAGTTTAGGTGGACGGCCTTGTCTTGGTAGGTTTACAGTTGTGCCATACTCCTTCCATTTCTGAATGATCGCATAAACAGTGCTCCGTGGGATGTTCAAGGCTTGGGAAATCTTTTTGTAGCCTAAGCCTGCTTTAAATTTCTCAATAACTTTATCCCTGACCTGTCTGGGGTGTTCTTTGGACTTCATGGTGTTGTTGCTCCCAATATTCTCTTAGACAGTCACAGAGCAGCTGTATTTGTACTGACATTAGATTACACACAGGTGCACTCTATTTAGTCATTAGAACTCGTCAAGTAAATTTCTAAGGGCAACTGACTGCACTCAGACCAAAGGGGGCTGAATAATTACGCACACCCCACTTTGCAGTTATTTGTAAAAAATGTTTGGAATCATGTATGATTTTCGTTCCACTTCTCACATGTACACCACTTTGTGTTGGTCTTTCACGTGGAATTCCAATAAAATTGATTCATGTTTGTGGCTGTAATGTGACAAAATGTGGGAAAGTTCAAGGGGGCCGAAAACTTTTGCAAGCCACTGTATGTTCACTATAGCAGCTGCTACAGTATCTCTAATCAGTGATCAATGAATCACATGCTTTTGAATGTATAGATTTTAAAAGGTTTTGAATGTAAAACTATTTAAATGAGTGTGCTATTTGCGTATAAACAGCATGTGAAATTGTGTTTGTGTCGTTGCTGGTTTTCATCTCAAATTCAAAAACAGTAAAAACATCGCCTTCACTTATGCTTTTGATTAACTCGTGTTTTGATTTGATTTTGAGGCTGGCTGGTGTGTTTGGTGTACCTCGTCGCACGCTGTGGAAACATCTTTAAATCTCCGCTTGATAAAATATCCATAGAAACAAAGAGTAATTTGTGATTTCGATGTGACCGTCTCAGTGCTGCGAGGAGGCGAGTTGGCCGTGTCACATTTTCTTTGTTTCATAATGTGCCTGTAATCAGAAAGCTGAACCCCTGACACAATAAAGAAGAAAGTCTTGGGGCTGTGTATTAATTGAAAGGCTCACAGCTGGCAAGACCAGATAACTAACTCGACTACAGAGCGAAGAACACAAAGTAGGCTAAGATTCAGCCTGAAACCATGGCAACACGTCACCGTCATAATCCTGAAATATAACGGGGGACTCAGCAGGTCTGTGGTCTCTGTGCTGTGATTTTGCTCACTGATCATCAGGCGCTCGGTCTCTGCTAGTGCACGGAAAAGATCATTAAAAGGCGATTTATGTGTTTGGTGTGTGTACAGAGGAACAGAGGCAGGACCCAGAGGCGTAAACTGGGTTTTAGAAGTGGAGGGAGTGCTTTGAAATGTGTGTGTACTTTTTTCCTCATTTTTTTATGCAGTTAAATTACTCATTTGATGTTAGACGCACTAAGATTAAATCAGTTCTTACAGTATGGTTCTCACAGTGACAGCAGTATAAAAAATGCCCATATATTTGTTTCCTAACAATGCAATCCTAACAATATGTGGAAGTTCAAATATAACCATAGACACCATGTGAAAAATGGGATGTGTCCACCATGAGGTCCCTGAACCTTCTTAAACAATAACTTGTGTATCAGTGGCAACATTTTTTGAATCTCAGAGATTCCATATTTGTTCCAGACAGCAGGCCACTCATTGCCCTGTACCGTGTCAGAGCATGCTCCCTGAATGATCAGTTCTTCTCAGCATCTCAGCTCCTCTGTCAGTAGTGGTCACACTGTCCTCTCACATGTTTTATAGGTTTGTTATTTACCGTGTGTGTTACTGTGTCATTGAGAAAGCATTGGAGTTCAGTCATCTAGTATGAATACACGTTTATACTACATTCGAGTCCAACTGAACTGAGTCCATCTTTTCAAGCAGGTTGCATTTAACAGGGTCTTTTGATCACGAGATACCTTTACAAAATTTGAAACCAGTCACACCATTCCAGTTGTCACAATAAGGAAAATTAGACCAAAACAGTTTCTCATGCTGTAAACGTGGGAATTTCAAAGCTGTAGTTGGGAGTAATGCTCTTTGCTGGTCTGCAAAGAGTCTGCTGGTTTCCCTGTTGTTTGGTTGCTGAATCATATTTGTATTCTGTTATATACCTGATGTTATATTCTCTTCTCGTAAATTAAACTCCTACTCCTTCTCCAAAAGGACTCTCCCCTGAAAGCTGTCCAGATGCTCTGGGTCAACCTCATCATGGACACTCTGGCATCTCTCGCTCTTGCCACGGAGCCGCCCACTGAGTCTCTGCTGCTACGTAAACCCTACGGTCGGAACAAGCCCCTCATCTCCAGGACCATGATGAAGAACATACTTGGCCATGCTGTGTACCAGCTCGTCATCATCTTTACCCTGCTCTTCGCTGGTGAGTCTGACTCCATCCAAGTTGGGTGTAAACCTGGTTCTGCAGTAATGCATTGATACTAAGACGCTGATGTTTGTTAATCATTGTCGAAACAGTTGAGATAAATTTTTGGGGTATTTTCCTTCATCTTTTATCAGGTGAGAACTTTTTCGACATCGACAGTGGGCGAAACGCTCCCTTGCACTCCCCACCATCAGAGCACTACACCATCGTGTTCAACGTGTTTGTCATGATGCAGCTCTTCAACGAAATCAATGCCAGGAAGATCCACGGAGAGAGGAACGTGTTCGAAGGTGTCTACAGGAACCCTATCTTCTGCAGCGTTGTACTGGGGACCTTCGCTCTGCAGGTAACACCTTCACCATCCTTTAGTGCTACCAAGGTTTTCCTGTTATGTTACCGCTCAGTCTGGATGGATTCATGGTCTCAGTAGCTGCAGCTGCATTTTTGCTCCACATAGTTTGGTTACATTTAAAAGAGTTTAGCTGAAACCTTCTGATGGTTTTTTTTTCACTGAATTAGAAATGGTAAGAAGACATCAGCACATCAGGTTAAGACCTTAACAGTAGAACTGGTGGTACGATGAATCACACACATCCAAAATGTTGACCAAAAACAGGTGGAAGATCACGAGATGAGCAGTTGCCTGTGCTGTGTGGGGGACAAAGTGTCGAAAGGTTGTCAATAGAAAGGTGGTGGTCGTGTTGATTCTGTAGTTAGCTGGCTAATGATTACAGTAAATGACAGAGAAGTTATTGGCAACTTAACTAACACCGCACCTTGGTATTATTTAAAAAGTAGTGCCCAAATGGCGAAAAACCTTAGTACCTAATAATAAGTTGTGTCGTTTCTGTCTCTTTTGGGTGCCAGTGGTCAGTGCAGGTGTCACTGATTCTCCCACCTGTAACACTGGAAATTGGAGTTTCCTCTGTTACCCTGTCATCTCATTTATTTGCCTTAACATTAGCATTGGAATAATGTATGAGTAAAAGTATTACCAATCTCACACTATAGAATAGTCTAACATAACTTTGTTAAACCACCAGATCTGCCGACTAAAAGTTCACACGGCTGACATGCCGCTTGCTTGTTTCCTTCCCAGATCGTCATTGTTCAGTTCGGAGGAAAGCCGTTCTCCTGCACGGCTCTGACCATCGACCAGTGGCTGTGGTGCGTTTTCATCGGCGTGGGAGAGCTGCTGTGGGGACAGGTGAGACAAAAACCTCAAGTGCACAAACAGCTGAGCAGAACAAACACCAGCCCGAGCTGTGAGAATAAGCAACGTGTACCCAGGAGCTGATGAAGAGGTGGATATGTGAGGTTTATGGCAGAAAACTGTTGCCTGTCACACTCGCGCTGCTGCGGTGTTGCCATCACGACCATCGCCATGGTAATGAGCTCAGCACATGAAAGCTGTGCGACTCCTGTTTACGAGGGCCGAGGGAAAACAAACCCGGCGTGTCAGCGCCTCTGTGGACGCGCACGAACACGCCATCACACACATGATCCTGTTAGCATGCAAACACACAGAAAAACTGTTCAGTCATAGCTAGCCTGCTGGGTTCAGGTGGAGGGCAGAGAGACAGAAATATGCTGACAGAAACAGACTCATCTGAAGTCTGTGATTTATTTAAGAGGTAAAAACACCTTTTGTTTCTAACGGAGAGAGAGAGGAGGGTGACGGAGATATAAAAAGCTGATGTGCAGCTCCAGCAGGATGCTGGGTGTCTCTCCGCTCTCTTTTAACAACCATGAACAGATAGTTCACCAGCAGAAGGAAAATAATGATTGCATAACCAAGTTACAAGTTTATTGTGCTTCATTAGTTTTTGTATATTGTGTTTTAAAATTGAGGTCAAATCAAGCTTCAGTGCAGCTTTAGCAACATTTTGCTTGTTAGTAAAAAAAAAAAAAAAATGAAAGTGCTAATAAGTAATGAGTTCATTTGTTAGCTTTTTATTTTTTAAAATAAATTTGCCAAACTTTACCCAAAATACTTCCTACAACCTCTTAGTAACACCTCAGTCCTGTTGTCTCACATAAGTCTTGGTCCTAGATTGGGAAAGCACCCTGCACACCCTGCTTTTTTTATTTTTGAGTCATTATACACTACACATATTAATACGTGAATTATTAACTTCTGTGGACTTTAATCAGTCACACTCCAAAAGATCCTACATTTCCCATAATGCAGTTCTCATGCAGCTTTTAAACTCGTCCTGTAGCACAGGCTGTCTTTATATATTCATAAAACGTTTTATTAGTTTGACCATCGATGTTATCGGATATTGTCAGCTGTTTTCATCTGCTGATTTGGCGTAAACACCACCAGATCTGATCTGCTGACGATGGTTTTCTCTCAACCTCAGCTGATCTCGGCCATCCCCACACACCACCTGAAGTTCCTGAAGGAGGCCGGTCACGGTATCACAAAGGAGGAGATTCCCGAGGAGGAGCTGAACGAAGGCACGGATGAAATCGACCACGCCGAGATGGAGCTGAGGAGAGGCCAGATTCTCTGGTTCAGAGGTCTGAACCGCATCCAGACACAGGTATGCTCGCCTCGGCTCCTCGACATGTCTAACTTTATCACCTACTTCTGTTATCAGTTTCCCCCTTTGATGGCAACGGCTGAGGGCTTGTTTTGTTTTTGGTCTATTGTCTTATCTGAATTGTTGTTTGAGAGGCATTCTCTCATCAAGATGACAAAGAGAGACTTTAATAAAAATATTTTTTCCAGCAGACACCTGAATGCATCACAATCGATGGAATCCAACAACCGGGTCCATTTTTGATCTGGTTCACCATCAACAAATTCCTTACCAAAGTTTTTATTTCAGATCTCTCGAACATCATTTGTGTTTTTCAAGCAGAGCATCACCTCAAGCATCGGCTTATCACCACTGGTGACCAGCCAGACTCTGTTGCAAAACGACAAGTTCACTTTTATTCAACATAAAATGCTCTACACATTTTCTGCGCTCTCACAGTACAGTACATCTTTTTTCTTATTGACGTTCTCTTCTCGTTGCAAGAAAAGAAAAAATGACCTTTTTTCAGATACATGGAAATCTCCTTACCATCTCTTACTGAGATAAAAGCAGTAAGTGGTAAACTGCATCAAGCTGCTTTACGGTGAAATTAACAGCTGGAGGGTGTAAAAAAATCTTTGAAGTCAAGCTGACCGCCGCTTAGGAGAAAAAATATATACAGAAAGCACAGTATCTACATTTAACGAGTGCGTGGAGCTGTGCCGCAAAGCCTGATTGGCTCTGCAAACTTTCCATGTGGAGCCTCTAAACTCTGTCAGCAGCCATCTCAGATTAGACGCCAAATGAAGCCTGTAGAGTCTTTATCATATGTATACTGTACAACATAGTGCAGTCAACCAGAACTCTCGATAAAAGTTTACCGTAGCTGTATCTCCGACTGCAGCTTCATGTCGGCACCTCTGTGACACACACTGTGTGTCTGTGTGTGTGTGTGGAATTGAACTGAAGATTAAACACACACACTCAACTGCAGATGTTGTCCTGTCAATTTCACACTCTGCTGCAGAGCTTCGGCACAGAACCACTTTATTAAAAAACAGAAATTAAAGACTGCTACAGCGGCACAAACCTTCCTGAGTACTTTCATTAGTCAGTAAATTAATCAGTCATGTCAGCAAGCGTGTCTCCATCCACCTGTTTCCATCCGGACTTTCAATTCCTGTGTAACCTGAAGGAAACCACAAGAAATTAAAAAGTCACGCTTTTTGAAAAAGTTACTGATTAAATAATAACAAAGCCAGATTTAGTGAGCAAATCTTTAGGAATACTTCTAAGAACCGCAAGGTTGACCCAAATACAGAATCACGGAGACAGACACGCAGAAAGGGTAAAGAGAAAGTTAGTTAGAAAACCTGCAGCACAATTAGGCTGGTTAGTCCAAAAAAAGCACTGAATCTAAAACATGGGGTGAATCTAAGGAAGACTGAGGAACAAGAGGAAGTTGAAAATGCAATAGCCTGGCAAAGACTGATTGAAATTCCGAGTAATTCAGACAGCAAGGAAGAGAGAGGGGTTAAAAAGAAAGCAATAAGACACAATCAAACCAATAACATGGGTCAGGGAAAAAAAAGTCACAAAATAAACCACAAAGTAAACAAAAAGAGCGACCGAGAGCAAAAAAAGCACGGACAAAGAAAAAACAAGAGTCAACACTCCTCTAATCAAAGGAAGAGATAAACCGGATTTTAAAACACGAATGCTATCATCTTTTTCTTCCATCAGAATTGGAGAGTAAGTGTCATTAGTGAATTATTATGTCAGTAAACTAACTTCATGCTACATTGCATTTGGATTGAAATCTAGCTGGTGTTCTTAGTAGTCGCTGTTTTCGTACGCTGGAACTTGTCTGTGTTATCCTCCTCCTACAGGACAGCTCACTGAGCTTTAGCATGTCCACGGGCAGTTCCATTCAGTCTCTGTGGGCTTCATTAGCCTCCATGCTAACGCCCACTTACAGTAACAGCAGTCATCGCGCCGCTCCCACGCGCACACACATGGAGTCAGCGGGGTCAGGTGTTTTCCTCTTACCAGTGGGCTTGCTTGTACTTACTGAGGCCAGAGGGTAACCAGGTCTGAATAATAATAGCGAATTTTTTCTGGTTTGTCGTCTTGAGTTTCTCAGTTTGACCTCTGCAGAAACACTGACTCTCTGCTTCTTCACTCAATTCTGTAACTGACAGAAAATAAGACTTCATTTTAAACCAGACCTCTTCCAAATAAAACACCAAAACAAATAAGTGTAGCTTCTTAATCCAGAGCTCTGGTGCTTCTCCATCATTTGTCCTTTTTATTATTGTGTTATACATTATACCTTGATTAAAACAGCAGGTGATGGCCAAAGTGTTCAACAGCTGTTCAGAAAAAAAACTGGAAAGTAGACTATTAAATATCCAAAATACACTATCTATCACACAAACAGACTAAAACCGTAAGAATACAAATGAATTATTTAGTAAGTCGGTGGTTTCATATAGAAACTGTAGGCAAATCTGGTAATACCAAATTTAATAAATGATACTTCATTTAAAACGTGCCTGTTTTGCATGAAGCTAAAACAAAACCCTAACCATCGATGTGTTACCGGTGAGCTGGTAAATGTCTAGAGGTTAAAATGCTCATTCATCACATAATCTGATTGAAAGCTTCAGAGCGGGTACAAATGAACAGGCGAGGGCAAGAGTGATTTCAGGTGGAGCGGAAAACCCTGATCCACGTGTGCGGTTTACGATAATCTTCACCCGGTCCACGTAAATCTGTGTCGTGAAAGGCGGATGTTTCTCCTCCACTTCTCTCTGTCTGCCATCGGATCTGCTGTACAGAACTGAGGACGCTCTCCTTTTTCTCTTCGGGGCTGTGTATCTGTAATATCAGTGTTGTCCTCTCGGGATGGGAGGATGGGAGGAAGCGATGATGGAGAGGGAGGCGACGAAAGGCTGCAAGCTAATTAGGTTCTTATCTCTCCACGCTCCTCTTCCTGTCCTCTTCCTCTCTAATCCTGGTGGGCAGTGTTGTGCCGCTCAACGCCTCAACAGTCAGACACAGTGGGGGAATAATTGCTACATGCAGCACCTCGCTGCAGAAACTTTATCAGTCATTCCAAATGACACATTTCTCTTTCTCCTGTCTCAGCTCTCTCTCTCTCTCAGAGTGCCGTAAGCCTGATTCAAAAGCTCTTTATTCACTGTTCCATTTCTTTCTTCATCCCTTCGTTCTGTCAGAGGATTTTCACATTTTGACACTAAATGACAGCTCTCAAACTTCTCCTTGCTGTTACAACTTCTCCTCTGTCCTGATCTCTTTCTCATCTTTGTTTCTCCTTCATATTCTAGTGTCTCTACCTGCTAAAAGTGTCAGTAGCTCAGTTTTTCTGTATTGCAGCAGCACAGATAAGGACTGCAGAGGTTATCCCATTGGAAGATTTGATATTTTATTTTGCTTTTTCTTTAACAAATGTACTAAATATGCAAGAAATACCTCAATGGAAAAATCAGAAAGTTTCTTACTGCCATAATGTCCATTTGCTTTCTTTCAGTAAAACTAACTGTTGAATTTAAATGCTGGATACAGTGTCTGTTCAGTGTGGGGACAGTATGATACCCAGCTTCTGACAGAGAAGCGTTCCATGATTCACAATTCAAAATCATCCATTATTTGAAACTTTGCAAAGTTTAAAATGACCTTTCAGCATCAGTGTATACATACATGACAGAAAATAAGGAAAGGATCCACTTAATAAAATCTGTCTATTTCATCGGCACTGATCTTGATGAATGAAATGAAATATTAGTTGGTTTTGATCAGATGATTTTTTTTTGCAGTTTTGATATTTGTGGTTGGATGATTAATTCAAGTCAGTATGAGAGGGAAAGGCTCAGAATCTGTGCCAACTTTCATTGAAAACATAGCGTCACCCTTTTGTCAGGACAATTTAAAATCTTACCACTGAATGTGTGACATATTCAGACTGATACAGTCCCAGTCACGCTGTTAGCAGCAAAGCATGACATAGATGAGTCTCATCGTAGATTGATGCACAACATTTTATCAGCTAATGCCATTGCACTGTTTCCTGCCAGCTAACACTAAACGTAAACTACCCTGAAATTGAGTAATTTAATCAGATGTGCTTGTCTTCATCGCTGTACTTGCACTACCTCTTCTTTACATCCGAATGAATTAAAAGGTCAGACTGCACTGTCTCTAACCTCTGCAGAAGTCTGTTCCTCTGTGCTGTCTTCTTGCTCTCTCTGCTCTCTAACAGTGTGTTGTGACTGTCCTTCCTTCAGATGGATGTGGTCTATACCTTCCAGACGAGCCAGGCGGCGGTGCCCGGTGCCCTGCGCCGCCAGCCGTCCGTCGTCAGCCAGCACAATGACGCCACTGCTGCCAAAACTCTCTCTAGCCCCACCCACATAGGGCTTAGCTCTTCCTCCTCTCTCACCAACTCGGGTGGGGCTCTGCCCCCCGCTGCTGCTGCTTCCTCCTCCACTGCAGGCAGTGAGTCGGTGACTGGAGGCCAGCTAACAGCACGCTCCACCAGGCTGGACTCTGTCTTTTTTTTCCTCTGTTTGAACGTTGCATGACTTACCGACACTGAAGCCACTGCACTGCTGCTGTCGTAACTGGGTGTCTGCACGCCCTGAACTGATCTGGAATTTTTCATGTGAAGAGTGTGTCTAGGTTATTTATTAACTGCTCACTAAATAGAAACTTTTCTTTCTTTTCTACTTTCCTTCCTTCACAAGGAGCATAGCTTAGAAAGCTCTTCTAATCACACTCGTGGCTAAGTTGTATTGTCTACCACAGCTTTACAATAAAAGCCCCCCAAAGGTTTGGTGGAGAGCTTTAAATGTAAACCAGCAGCGAGGTGAAAAAGCTCTGTTTGCAATCGCTGCAATTAAAACTGCAAATAAAGCTGTGATGCTGCTGCTGAAATCTATAAGTAAACAAGTTTGAAGATGTGAGTATAGTAAGAGCTGAACATCACAAGATATTAAAAAGCATATTTGGAGAAAAAGTGAACATCTTTAAAGCTTGCTAATTAGCTTCATGTTACCCTGCTTCATTCGAACAGTGGTGCGAGTGAGAAACAAAGGTTTAAGATTCTTTTAGATGATTTGTTGCAGCATTCAGATGTTTCTTTCATTCAGTTCAGCATTTCTAGAACATTCAAACATTTTCAGCTCTATTGTACAGAAAAAATTACACTGAATGTGTTTTATTAAATCCTTTTAAAGTGTTCAGTACGTACATTACGGCTTTGAATAGACACCAGTGTGAACTGCAGTTTGACTGTAAAAGCCAGAGAAAAAAGTACTGAGAGAGCCTGCAGACAACCTGATCTGTTTCCATCTCTCTGCTTCCATGTGCTGTCCACTTCACCTTCCTGTGCTTTTATATTCATCTTTTTTTCTTGTTATTACTTCCATCACTTCCATCCTGCATGAAGAATTAAACTCACCATGCATCTATTAACCCATGATGAGACTTGGTGCCTGACAAGTCACTAAAGGCACGTGTGACCTACTAGAAGAGAAAGAGACGATGAATCGCTCTCATTTCCCCGTCCCATTTTCTTTGTTGATTTTTTTCCCCCTCTATTTCTCTGAGGCAACATCCTGGTCATCGAGATAATTTTATGGGTTAATCCTGTGTAGGGTTAAATCTGTCAGGCTGAGCAAGTCTCCCTCGTGGTTTAACAGCCAAGAGCTTTTTAACTTGTGAGCTTTGTGTATGCACGAGTGTTTGTGGTTGTTGCATGCATGCTCTAAGCTGCAGAGCTCAGCCTGCAGCTCTCTTGTGGTTCAGTAATAGAGAGCTTTGAACTGCAGGGTTATTAATTATAATGAAGAGTGTCTACTGGTGCGTATAAATCAGTGTGATCAGCTGCAGCCTCTGCGGATTCATCACACAGAAAACGACTTTAGGCCGAGAGAGGAGAGCAGGCCGAGGACAAAACGATTCTCACTCGGAACGTGATTAGAAATGCTTAACAGTGAGATTGTGTTTGTTATGCGTGTGGTGTTTACTGGGGTCGGGGATCGGCTGAAATATTTCGGTATTCCCGCTGACGCCATCATAGCCGAGTTGGTAAAACGTGCCCTCCAACCAGCAGTGACCCCAGAAAGTCAGTTTGCTGCAGGACAGTTAGTTTATGGTATTTATATCTTATTTGCATAGACGAGATCATGCATTGAGGTTAAATTTTAGCCAGATTCAGATTAGACCTCCCAGTCACAAGCCTCCAGATTTCACTTTCCCAGGTAAGCGCTGAGAACTACAGATGGTGCAGCTTCCAACAATCAGGCCAAGAACTGGAGTGGCTACAAACCACAGTCGGAGCCCGTTTTCTGACTCAAAGTAACCCTTTCATCCACTGGGAAAATCTTTTAACACGCAGGAACCGACTCGGGAGGATAAAATTTAATATTAATTGTTGGTTTTAGTGGCAAAAATGGTTTTATTACACTTTCCTGGAATGCGGACACTGCTTTCACAGTTTAAAATTTAAAAATCATCCAAAGAATCTCTCAGAAGAAAATGTTGGGGGATTTTAGGCCACTGTTGCTGTCACTGTTACATTGTGGGACATTCCTGCTAATTAAACCTTCTTTGTAGACAAAGAAGACAAATCCGATCCAGGTTTTTCCACTTTGGGACTATAATCATGCGAGGCGATGCTGTATTGCCTGACCTGAACCCCCCCCCCAATCACTCATTGTCCTTACTGGACATATTTATTAATTAGTTATTGATTGGAAACATATTTTTGGTTTGTAATTTCAGGCTGCCCAATGCAGGGAAGCGCTGTGATTGGTTCATGCAGGCATGTTGTCAGGCAACATACCCATTGGCTTTAAAAATAATACAAATTTACTGAAACTGAAATTTTAATCAGCTATTTAAGCACCATACAAATAAAGACGCTTCTGTGTTCGTGATTATGCCTTTTTTTCCCCCCTACAGTATAATTTTTATTTAACAAACTTGTCATCTAAAACTGGGCAGCAGAATAAGAGTTTTGTCTAAACAAATAGCTCCACAGATGCATTTCATACTGTGCTTAAATTATTTAAGGTTCAGTTTAGGAATTCATTCTCAGAGACTGATCTCTTACAAATGTAACGAAAGACTTGCATGTGTTTTTTGAGTCATTTTGGGTGATCTCTCATCAGGTATGAGATCACGAAGGCTGGCTGAATCAAAACCATTCACACCCTTTACTGTATTATGTAGTATGAGTGCGTTTGTCCTGGTGTTAGCCCCTGCTTTCCAGTGAGAGAAAATCTGAAAACAAATATGTTTGTAGTCTGTATTACGTTTCAGGTAATCCTATTACTCTTTCAGTGTGACACAATGTGACGATTCCCCAATGTACAAAAAGAATTATTAGTAAATATTTTTCCAGTTTGGTAAAAAAAAAAAAAAGAAAGAAAAGAAAGGGGGGGGAAACAGAGCCCAGCCCCAATCTATCCACTCTGGAAAGAACTACAACACCCACTGTGTGTCAGGCCTCATCACCCAGCGCCAGCATCCGTCCTCATTAATACTGCAGTGGCTGAATGGGAGCGCATACAGCTTCGACATCTGGAGCTAGACGAGTGGGGGAGCGGGTTGATAACATGCAGCGTCTTCTGTCAGGAAGTTTTGATAACTGAGTGCCAGCTCAGGGATAAATGAACACATCAGATAAATTTAGTTAACATTGCTAATTGTGAGATCTGCGCTGGTTTAAATGGGGTTTTCGAATGTTAGTGAAGTGACGGTTACAGTGGCGGTTTTGTTAAGGTTAAGTCGGCTGTGATGGCTAAAAGTTAACTAGGCATAAGTTCGTGTGTAGAAAGATAAAACATGTGATGATGCATTCTTTCGTCGATGTGCTCATACATTAAGAACCCAGTTTAACTGTAACTAAGGTGTCCGCAGACTTTTGGACACATCATATCAATATTTAACTGTCAGATATTAAAAAGCAGAATTATAGATGTAGAGGAAGCATCAATCGAACTCTCCCTGCAGACGTGTGTGCTTGTGTGCAGGTGTGCGTACTGTGGTGATTGTGATTCAGTGCTTCTCCACATGTGACTCCCTGATGATGCTTTTGTTTTTGTTGTGTGTTTTTTTTGATGCACTTCCTGCTATGAGCTGCCTCCAGCATTGACCTTTTTTGACCTTTTTGCGTTGATGTTTTGTGGATATTTTCAGCTTTCCAACCGTGTTCTCATTCAGCTGTTCCACTCGTTGTGTGTTTTTGTTTTTTTCTCATTTCCGTGCCCAGATTCAGACGCACGACCGCCACGTGTCCCATCAGCCCCTGCTGCCAGTTTTGTTTTTGTTTGTGTAGAAATGGCTGCCCACCTACGAGACCTCCTCTGACGTTTGTTTCCTCTCTTTGTTTCAGATTAAGGTGGTGAATGCGTTCCGTAGCTCCCTGTACGCGGGGCTGGAGAGCCCAGAGTCCCGTAGCTCCATCCACAGCTTCATGGCCCATCCTGAGTTCGTGCCCTTGTCCGAGGAGGAGGAGGCTCGCATCCCCACCATTAAGGAGACTGGAGACGAAATCGACCCCCTCCCCAGCTCCTCATCATTGATCCGGGGAGGAGAAGACTTGCCCACCACCTTCCCCCTCAACCTCGATTAATCCATCTGAGTTCCTCCTCTCTCCTCTTCATCAGCATCATCTGTCACCCCACCAACCGAACTGTCACACCGAGGAAGGGAGTCATGACTCATTCTGCATACACACATGCTTCACATCGTCTCCACCCCCCCCTCGGTCATTCCTGCCACGTTGTGTTTTTCATACTGACTGTGGCGTCGTTCTGCCTGTAAGTCTGATAGAGTCTCCACAGTGGAAGGCCTCTTCTAGTCCATTCATGTTTTGGTTTTTTTCTTCCTTTTTTTTTTTTTTAACTTGACATTCTTTTTGAAAAGCTTTTAAACTTTATTGGATTCGATCCTTGCAGGACTCGCAGCAGCAGCATGTTGTGTTCTGTACTCGCTTCATTCCTGCGTTCTCAAACGGCACCGAACTTTTCAAAGAGTGCAGTGAATCAGATGTACATACGCTTCCGCTCTTCTACACAGCTATAAGCCGGGTTTGTTGATCAGAAGATTTTTAGGCAAATGCAAAAATGTAACCTTATTATTATTATTGTTGTTTTTTGTTTTGTTTTGTTTTGTTTGTTTTTTTTAGACCTTGATCTTGATTTCTTTTTGAAACCTTCTAACGAATGTCAATCGATGGTTGATTCAGACTCCTGAGAATGTCTTGTGAGTGTGACACTACAGCTTTCAAGGTTAAAATAATGTTTTTCCCTTTATCGTGTCTGTATGTGTTGCTTTTTTTTTTTTTTTTTAGCTGCTGTGTTGCATGTGGAAGAACAGAATGTTTACTACCCAAAAATACTGAAGACGGCAGCGTCTGGAGGGGGCTCGCTTTCTGCTCAGTGGGGGTTCTGACCTCATCTCATCCAGTCAGGGTTCTGGTTCTCTCTGCCCCTCCCCCAGTTTGTCCCCTGTGAGGATAGGAAACGAGAGTGTGGTTCATGTTTTCCGTCTCTAGTAGGATGCATGTTTTTGTTTAATTCGTGTTGAGTCGCATGATAACGTACAGTAGGAATGAATATTCGGGATTCTGTTTCAACTTTGTGCGTCTGCAGCAGCGTCTGTTCAGAGCTCCATGAGCTTCCTGTCTGTAGGACTGAACCTCCTGTTACCACGGCAGCCTCATCGATATTCTGGCAGAGGAAACCATCAGGGTGTTTAACACAATCGATACCCCGGCGTCCGCGTGTGTTTCACAGTAGGCGAGTGCAATAAAAGTTTCGGTATCGGGGTAATGCGAAGTCACAAAGCCCTGAAATCCAATGTCTGTCTCGGTGTTGTCACAACACAGGTATCGCTGGTAAGATGAGGTCGCTACACACACGGAAAGCCCCGAGGGCCAACGACAACAAACAAAAGCTGCAGCCTGTTTTTTCCACTGCTCGACCCCCACCGTGTCGCTCGCTCGCCACGTGGCTGCGACCGGCCCACTCCAATCTCATGTCGGCAGCTGTGCACAGAGATGCTTTCAGCTAGGAGAGGTTGAATACAATCAAAATAGTAATACATGGATAGAGACAGACTAAAACACATGCATTCTCATCTCTGGTCTTGTAATACTCGCACCTGGACACCGAGGTTAAGTCGGTGCTCTTCCTCTGAGAGGAATCACGGTTGACCTCTCGATACACCGGGCACAGGGACGTGACCCTTTGCTGACCAAATTTATGTCACTCCCAAGCAGATGTTTGCATACCGATAGGTGTGAAAACTGTAACTCGTTTGTGTCTCCTCACTCTACACTCCGACAGGCTCGTATTAGACAAAACCCGCCCACCATCAGCAAGTTACAATTGATCACAACTAACTTCTTAGGGTATTTGCTTAAAGAGTAAACATTTCCTTCAGAGGATGAAGGAATATTAACCTTTTAGTTTGTTCAAGGAAAAGTTTAGGTAAAGCATTTCAAATCTTATTTAGTCTTCTACCCATTTCTTAAAGATCGTCTCTGTCAGAGGTCAGATTGTACTCTTAGTGCTTCATGTCTGGATCCATGAATGTCAATCAATCAATCAATCAATCAATCAAGGCTTTATTCGCCACGTGCAGGTTGCCCTGCAGTGAAATGGGACCCCCCCCCACCCGACCTTACACACAACACGGACATCACATGGGGATACAGGTCGATACAGAATGTAAGCTTGCCACAAAGTTTAGTTTTGCTATCAGTGAATCTGAAGCATTTTAAGCCTACGGGCAGCTCACATCTGTTGGTGTCACTCACATTTTTGCAGTCTGACTGTGGCGCTGATAAAAGAAGTGAGTTTAAACGCGTGTTAAACAGAAAACGACTGCACCGCTGACAAGTCTGTTTTTGGGGCAAAGACAGGAAGTAAATGGAGCTTTAAACAGCGTCTGGACCGTCTGCCTGTGTTTAAGACAAAACTTAGCTCCTTTCTCAGACTTTATAACTTTATAACATAAACTTAAATCAGCTGTCAGTGACATCACACAGCCAGGAGCGGAGAAGATGTTTGATCTTCACCATCAACATCATTGCTCTCTTCTCTGCTGTGTCTGATTGGCAGGCATCAGTGTGGCGGCCATGCTGAGGTTTACGGGAGACTGATGATGTCACCAGTCAGCCCATAGATTAAAATCCACTGTGTTCCTGCTGCCGCTTAGTACTTCCTGCTTGTCTGCAGATTACTGTCTTAAAAGAAGAAAGACTCATCCTCCAATCAGAAGCAGCGGTGCGTCTAATCCCCTCTTAGTCTGACTAGCAGCCATCAACCTATCTCTGAACTAGGACACGTTATTGAAGTAATGTGCTACTACTGCCATATTTCCAACTTTTGTCATGACTAGGTTTCCCCACTGATGAGCTTTTTCTATGTAACTCAGAGCCATATTTTATAGGTTGTCTGTATTGATTTTTTTTTTTTTTTTTAAATCTCATTGTTATCGAGGTTTGCTTTGGACTTTCTCACCCCTCACCCTTTCTAACCCCGTCCCAGCACACACCCTCTCTCCTCCCCTGGCCCTTTTACTTCAAACACGACCAAAAAAGAAACAAAAGAAGAAAAAAAACAAGGAGAAAAATCTTCAGTCGTCACTGCCGAACCAAGTTAAAAGGACCTCTACAATGTTTACATGAAAAGCGAGTCGGTGGCAGTTCGTCTGCGCTTCTCTCATCCGACCACTTCCCTTTCACTCCCTTGTTTTCCTGAATCTTAGAGTTACTATTTAACTAAATGGGGAATCTTTCTTGCATGGTTTTCATATAAAATTCAATGTTTTGCTCATTTTTTACAATTCTTCTGTATTTTTATATTAAGTACTTTTTAATATTTTGGAGATATATGAATATATATGTATAGGCTGAAGAGTTTGGTGACAGTACCGTACATGAATGAGATGAACCTACCGTGGACTCTGTCTTTTTACAGCTCTCTAAATATTTCTGCCACGTGTGTCGTCTTGGTCACCTGACGTTAGGGCTCAGAAACCTGCAGTGACTTGTTTACTTCCTGTCGCCCAATCAATTGGAATCTGAACAGTCTAGTCCCATCAGCCCCCTTTTTACATGAGTATAATCACTTTACCTGAGATGTTGTGACACACTACACGTTAAGTGATTTTTCGCAGTTATCCAACTCCATTAGAGTTCAGAAAATGCATCAGCTAACTGTATCAAACATTAAATGGGAGTGTATAATTATTTATCCAACCTCTGGGTTTGTTTGTTTCTCTGCTTTGAAGCTACAGCGACTGATTTCTTTGAATGAGTGGATTGATGCTGTTTTCCAGCTTGCAGGTGTCGGAGCTGACGACTTTAAAGAGGATCAAAGCTGTGTCCCACGTCATGCTCCGCCTCCGTTTTGAAGGGGCCGTGGTCCGTGAAGGCACGCCCACCTTTGCCCAAATTGACTTCCCAACCCCTCTGCGAGAAAAACCTCCGAAAGTAAGCTCCATGTAGTTGTAGTCAGTACAGAGACAGACCAAATCACAAAGCAAGCTCTGACCTCCCAGACTCAAGGTCAAAGGCTTTAAGCTTAATTTGAAGTTCTGCATTGAATTGCCACAAACCCCAGAGCAGCCATCTTTGCTTTTACTAGCTGAGCTGCTCACGTTGGACTCTGAACAACAGTTACTTTTACTTTAAAGCAGGAAGAAGGGAACTGAGCTGTAAAAATGAGAAAATGCCATGTACACTGGCAGAATACCAGCCATTGCATTAGCATTGTGATTGCACTAGATACAATCACAGCCTATTACATTTGGTTCAACAGAGGCATTAACAGAGTGCTAATCAATGGGTTTTACAGTGTATGCACAGCAAACACAGGCGACAGAGAGAGAAAGAATCGTGGGACAAGTCTAACTTCTTTATTGAAAATCTTATTCTGGGGCAAAGTTGAAAAATGACTTTTTAAGCTGTTTTTTCAAAATAAATGCCCATGTAAGGGCTTGCAGGATAACGAGTTCTGTGAGTTGCTTCAAGAAAGACTTTGGTACCACCGAGTAGACCAATCCTGTGTCGTGCACATCAGGATGGAGTGTGGATTCAGTGCTGTACTCTAAGTCAAGCTTTAGGTAATCTTAGTGTTGCTGTAAGTCTTTGAGCCCTTGTCCAAAGTTGTCACAAGGCGTGGTCTGGTTAGCTCTAAAATTTAGCGCTCTGCCCAAACCAGGTTAGACTGAATGTATTTGAGCCCACAGCGACTTGGCTTTGTGTTCAGGACTCGGTCACTGGTTAAACTGATAAAGGTGAGGCTTCACTTTGTAGAGTTAATATTTATTACAACATCCAGGCACAGCAGGAGCTTTATGAATTTACTTGAGGCATTAATGTGCATGGTTACATATTGGGGGTAAAGGGGGACTTGTCTGTAAGAACCCTAAGAAGTTTCAATCCGGCCCTGGACCACAGTTTGTTTGTTTTTGTGGTCATGAAATTCAGATCTTGGAGGAGGTGGAGCCTGTGGAGGGACACAGCTGCAGCTGTGGAGGTCATCACCGTTTTATATGCGACTAACAGCTTTCAGAAACTGTTTCCGGGAAGAGAGAAGGAACTTAAGAGCGTTGGTGACATCACTTCCTCTTCCCGACACGTGTCCGTTGGCTGTAAACGAGACACGCCCTCCAAACGATGACGTGTTTCCTCTTTGTTTTGTCTAACTGCTCAACACCTGCACTCCTCCTTAGAGTCAGTACAGTGTAAATATTGTCAAATAAGTGAATGAAGTGTACCTGCTGTCTGTGTCGGTGACAGGAAATGGGAGAGGGGGCAATCAGCCAATCATCACCCAGCAAAGCTTTAAGAATGTTCTGCCAAAGTCGTCTTTTTCTTCTGCACAACTTTGTCACCGCCTCCCCTCGCTTCTCCTCCCTCCTGTCTGGATAAGAGTGCCCCCAACCCCCACCCCGTGCTCTCGCCATCGCCTCACTGTGGCCGCGGTGGTCATGTGTTGGACTGCTTGGACTGGTTGCCCCTCACGTCTCATGCCAGCTGCACAAGCAGAGCCATGCAATCAGAGACTCTGCGGCGGCCTGTTTGTGCTACTGGTTTCAGCCACGTCGCAAACAAAAAAACAGTCCGGACGACACTCAGCAGACTGAAAATCCTCACCTGGATTTCGTTTTTCGAAAGTTCATTTCTGGACTAGATAAGATCTCATTTTGCCACAGATCTTCTTTTTTTTTTTCTTCCCTCATTAGGACTTCTGTATGGAGAAGGAACTCGCGTCTTATCCGGTCACTGTTGCATTTTGACTGCGTTGCTTCTTCTTCTTCAGAGCACTGCCTTTTTTCACAACAGGAAATCTTTAAAGAACCTTCACAACCACATCAAACGTTAACAAAGAAAAAAAAGGGGGTTCAGTCGAACTGGAATATCACAGCTGGAAAAGTCATAACCATTTAACATATATATCTATATATTTATATAGTATATCTATGTATTTATATCTAATATATATTTGTATGTATATGTGTATTAGATATAAATACATAGATGTATAAGGTTTCTCAGTTGAACTTCATTGCAAAAAAGACTGAAAGTTTTTTTCTGTAATTACTATGATACACAGTAATAGGCGTTGGTGTTATTTTTGTATAAACATAATATCATCTATGTGGCATGCATGACATATATACAAAATTTGGTGGTTTAAAGCAATATGTCCAACCTGGTGCGATTGGTTTCCGTCGTGTTCTGTGTATCCTAAAATCACTCTGTACGGGAAAAAAAGATTTAAAAAAAAGATGATAAAAAAAAACCAAACAGAAAAAAGAGAAACTGCATTTGGATAAAACTAACTGTTCAGTATATGTGTTCAATGTTCTGTGTTCTGCATGTTTTAGTATGGAATGAAACATCCCAAATGTTGACTTGTTTTCCAAATGAATCTCAGTTACGCGCCCCCCAACACATGCAGCATTACACACACACACGGGTATGTGCACTGTGAGGTGAAACACTGAGGAAATTAAAACTGTGCGACTTCTGGTGGATGGATTGATGAAAGATGAAGGTTCTTCTTTTTTTTTCATCATCTCATTTAACACATAAGTCCACTCATCACGTCTCTCCTCTCCTTATTCTCTTTCATATCACACAAACACTCACTTTTACAGACTCTACTGAACTCATCACCCTCTTGTGTGCAGTAAGAGGAGGAGGAGGGAGGAAGGTGATGGCAATTAAACAGGCCTGAAACATTCAGCATGATGTGGTTCAGGTGGGCGTCCATTCATCCCACCGATCACATTCATCGATCCATAATCCTCCTGAATCTCTCTACAGGCTACGCTGGACAGAAAAAGGAGGATAATGGAGTCATCATGTGATATGATTTAGGGATTTGAACTGTTTTTTTCAGCTGTGAAATGTGGGCTCTGCCTTGTTTCCCCATTTTCATTTACCCTCCATGTAATACAAAGAAAAACAGCCACGTTCCCTATTTTAGTGTTAAAATCTCAAGCGGCACCTAATTGTGTCGAGCAGCGTGCAAAATGCCATAACGTTTCCTGTTTTGAAGACACAAAATAAATCCTTTAGTCCTTCAGTTTCCACAAAAGAGAACGTTTTACTTCAAGCCTACATTAATAAACAGCTGCAGCTTAGATACAAACAATTATGGACTCAATGTTTATTTATTTTGTTTTTATCAGGCTGTAGAATTTAGCATCACAGTGGAAAGGACTGGGTTAAAGTGCATGAAGCATGAAATCTGACAGCAGGGTCGCTGACAGGATTAAAGCAACACTGAGGTCATGAACACAATTCAGCCCCCAGCGCAAGCAAAGATAAAATGTTTGTCTCTAATTATTTTGATCCTTATTAAGTCTGCAACTCTGTTATCAGCGTTCTGTTTCTCAGCATCTTCGAGTAAACTTGAAACTTGACATTAATGCCTAAAAATAGTGAAATGTACAAGTTCCAAACTGCATTTCTTCCTTTCTTGTAAAACACTGTTTATGTGTCCAAGTTGTAATACTTTTCAGCTTTAGTTGAATTAATATGAATCAAAACAATGTTAAAAAGTGCTTTACAAAAAACACGTGATGCGACGAGATTAAACAAAGATAAAAATCCCAAAATTCAACCGTGCTCTATCATCACAGCTGACCAGTGTTGGTTATCTGGTCGGCTGCTTTGGTCCAGACTATATCGGAGTAACCGTTGGACGCTCTGTCAGAACTGAAATCTCTGCACAAACATTCGTGACTCTCGGACAGGGAATCTTCTCCCTCTGGGATAAAGGAACACCGTGATAGATGAGGGAGCCTGGCTGGCTTCGTGGCGTCCACAGATCTGGTCGGCCACAGTGGCGATCAGACTCCCTAAAAGAAAAATCCTTCACACTGACTTTCCCTTCAGTGCTAACACGAGGGTGACATTTTAGTGAAATATCTGGACACTTTATTGGACGGACAGACATGGAGTTTAGCACAAAACATTTGGTGTCCCCCTTTGAATGAGGTGTAACAGCTTTGGTGGTCCTTTAGCTTTCCATCAGCTGAAACGCAGAGGTCGTGACCTCTGTGTCTTCGGTCCTGTCTGCTAGACTCTGAGCCGCAGCGGTGGTTTGTTGTTTGAGCCAAAATAAAATGTCCTGTGCTTCCCTGAGTGAGTGTGTTCGTGTGGATGTATTGGCTCGACAAAGGTGTGTTTCCTCAGTGCGTGTGTGTGTGTGTCACCTTCCCTGTTTTTCACTCCCATCCTGTCCGTTCCTGTCAGACACCCTCCTCCTGTTTGCTTCAATCTATGCAACAGAATCCTTCAGTTCGCCTCCAGTGGTTCATCCGGTTTCTCTCCCTCGCGCTCTCACTCTGTCCGCTCGTCTCCGTCTTTATCTGCTTTTGTGTTCCAGTTCTTTGTACAGACAGAACCACGACACCACCTGTACACTGATATATGTCTGTGTGTGTGTGTGTGTGTGTGCGCGTGTGTGTGTGTGTGTGTTTGTGTACAGCAGCTGTGTGCACACAGATGCACATACACGCGCGCACACGTTTTCTTTACTCTTTTGTAAAATATGAACATGTGGAATGCCTTGGTCTTAGTGTCATGTCGTTTGAACTTAAGCTGAACAAAAGATGATAATCAAGCAACTGAGTACAAGTTGTTACATAAAGATATATATATATCTAATATATAAATATATATATATATAAATATATACAAATCTATACACATAAAATAAAGCCATTGAAATTTGAAATAAAGCTGTGTCAACTTGTGATTTTATTTTATTTTATTTATTTTTTTGTCAGATTTTGAATGTCAGGTTTTTTTAAAAATAAAACTAGACCTGAACCTGCTGGGGGGGATGAAAACCAGACTGTTTTGTAAGAGCTCTTATTTACAGATGTCCCCTTAATGCATCACACGAAGGCGATCATAAAAAGCACCGCAGGGGTCATAAAACCTGAGTGAGTTTGCATCTTTCCACATCTGGTTGCCTTTTCATAACCTCAGTGGCTTTTAGATAAACTACAGTGTGTGTCATTTCACATCGCTGCCTGCATGAAAGTATCTACAAATTAGAGGTTTACATGAGGTCGTCGTTGAAGCAAAAGCATTTGTGCATTTATCTCTGAGTGCGCATGTGTGTATTTCAGTGTGTGCGCAGATTTATGTGCTTTTGCGACCATAACAGTCTCAAAGGTTTAGTCCATCAGAGTTGCCTTTGTAAAAGCTGGAACTGTTTGGCTGGCCTGCCCCTTCAAAGGCCTATTTGAAGGCAACACTTGGTTTTAGAGATAACGGTTGGGCTAGGTTGGAGTAATGGTGCATTCACAGACTCAGGGGTATTTATTAATCCTGGGAGAAGATAGAAAAAGGAATCTCAATATATAAAACAAAAATGAATAAAAGCAGTCAAAGTGATGTGTTGAATTAGAATTAAATATTAGAAATACTACATGGATAGTACAGAAAAGTAAAATTAGTCCAGGTATCACAAGAAGGAGTTATAAAGTTTGATGGCCGCAGGCAGGAATGACTTCCTGTGGCTTTGAATTCATCTTTTGCTGAACAAAGTCTACGGAAATCAACCTGACTTCACTGTTTAAACCTTGGAGAAAAATTTGGATTCACCTGATGCCACAGACAGTGACCGACTCTTTATGTCCAAAATAATCCAAGGTCCACAGAGAAGCGTTGTTGCCAAGATTAAGCAGTATTAATTTTTTGCAATAAATGCAAACATTACCAAACTAAACTAAAAATAAGGATTTCAAAGACTAACTAAGGATTGTGTGAAATAAGGAGCAGTGTCTGTAGAAGTCTTGATCTTGTGAGGTCAAAGACTGTCTTCCTGCTCCAGCAACTAGTGATGAGATTTCCAGCTCTTTTTAGAGAACCGGCTCTTTCGGCTCGACTCACTAAAAAGAGCCGGCTCTTTCAGCTCCCAACCAGCTCTTGGGGTTGTTTTGTTGCTTTAATTAATTTATTATTAACAATAATATAAAATTATGCACAAAAGGAATTACTAATGTAAAAAAAAGTGGTTTTATTTATATATGTTTATTAGGGGTGCAACGATACACAAAATTCACGGTTCGGTTCGATACTTTGGTGTCACGGTTCGATATTTTTTCGATACAAAAAAAATGTTCATGCCTTTTTAATTTGTCATTTATTAAATTTTCACGGCACATTCTGCACCACATCTCTGTGCGTTCATCATTTGTTTGAAGCCAGCTCACCTCCTGCAACTACTTTTCCGAGAATACGCTTCTTTTGTGGTTCGGACTCCTTCTGACATTTCTTTGGAGGTGGAGGAACATCACAGTAATTGCTTAAAGGAGCTTGCTTCTTCGACATCTTTAAGAGTTCTAAACAAATGTCTGTCCTCCTCCTGAAAATCTTATGTACGCAAACACGCGTTGCAACTTCTTATCTTGTGCGCGTTTTTTATTTTGACAGCGAATGCGCACCTGCGGACCACTTATGTGCAGCCCTGGTTATTTAGCTCGTCATATTGCAGCCACAGAAATTCTTTTGTCCATGAAACCATAAAGCTGCACTTTCTTTTTGCCTTATAGTCTGATTTGTCATAACTTTTCCGTTTTGTGGTAAGCTTTTCTTTGGCTGTCACTTCTTCACCCTGACCTGTCTTATTTGGCTCAGCAGAACTAAAATATATATCCTGCTGCTTTTACACACGCACTCACATAAGCTCAGCGATTCTCTGCGCGATCAACCTCTCACATGTTTAAGCTTGCTGCGGGAGATTTCACTTGTCATGTTTGCATAGTAAGCTAACGATTGATAAGACGATGTCAGAGGAATTGGTGCGCAAATTATGTCGCTCTCTATACACAGTTCGCACGATTGCAAAGTGAAAGCAAAAAACAAGCGCAAATTCAAACGCGATTTCAATATGTCACATATTGACAGTGGCTCACCGATGCCAATGACATAATTACCCAGCTACATTTCCGAAAGAATGCAAAAGCATTGACATATATTTTTCCTTCCTACAATAGCCCGACGGGCAGGGCAGAGATAGATTTTGGTAGCCCGACTGGAAAAATCGCTAGCCCCGGGACGTCGGGCTAGCGATTTGCGAGCCCTGTATCTGATTGAGGAATCACTCATCTTTGGAAAAGAGAGTTTATTACAGAGAAATGCATGGGGCTGACGGCCAACACGTTAACGAGCTAACTGCGCTAACACACTAGCTCCCACCCATGTAATTGAGCATTGCGTGGCACATCCAACATACTGTTTTACTTTGTCCATGACGCGCTTACCTTCAGGGTCATACGTCACATGAAAACCAAAATAGTTCCAAACGCCAGATCTGAATGAGGGTGGGGAGGTTCAATTTGCCATGTTGCAAGGAGAGCTTAACTTCTGTCTCGCTAGCTTGCCCT